AGCAGATAATTTGTACAAACTTGGACAGATCGTCGTACAAAGGGTTAAGCCATTCTAGAGCCCTTAGGGTAAGGCAAAAATCGTACAAAAAAATCCTATGCTGTTCTACCCTCTTTAATTCAAAACCTAATAATAAATTACCAATTTATTTGAATAATGTATTTAAAAATATATGGTATACAATTGTTGGCTGAAAAATTAGCATTTTCTGAAAATAATCAAAAACCAAAAGGTATTTACCGTCAGCAACTGTTAAATATGGTAAACATGTACTGCTACAGTGTCAAAGTAGTACTATTATCTTTAATTGTTTACTATCCTATGACAAACACATTGATTCTTATAGACACTTGACCCACCTAATCTACTTTACAAGAACGCCATTAACGTTAACTGCTGGGTTATGCTACGTGAGCCATACTATTTATACATGTGGCTGTGTACTGCTTGGAATATGTCCTCATATATATACATAGATATGTACTAGTATATCACATCTGTATGCATGACTAACGCATAACAATGGCAACAGTAGCAATCATCTCGGACCAAGTGATTTACCTTCAAAAACTTCGTATGGGAAAGAATTTTACTCTTCTACTTGATTTTTGGGCTGCATTTAGGATTGAAGACTAGAATGCATGTATTCGAATGTATAACCGAAATTTTTTTATGCATTTTTTGCACATGTAAAGGCTTTACGTACATATATGTGTCTTTGTTACGTTCCTTCCATTTTCCTTTCGTTTGTTGAAAATAATATTTATGTTTATGTTTTTGAATACTCTGACTGAAATTTTGCATACAGTTGTGTTTTATCGCAGCTCTGATATCATCGCCTCGAGAATGATTATAAAATTTTTGTGTTAGAGATAGTCTATTTTCTTCATTTTTCAGTCCAAAAAAAAAAAAAGATACAAACAAGATTGGTAATACATTGCGTCATAAACGAGCCTTCGTCTACGACGTCACATAGTTATGTATTTTTCTGTCAAACGCATTCAAAATAAATTTATGGAACGAAGCTGTCAGAATTTCTAGTGCTATCATTCTTGTTTCCGGCCGCAAAACATCTTTAAATAGTTCAATTTAGCTGGAAGAGCCAAAACCAAAAAATAGACACTTTATGCCTTATTTCTAAAAGTCGCACTAAATCCTCTGAATACTGAATCTAAGATTTGTCTATTGAACTGTCAAGTTTTTTAATCGAAAGAGCTCTAACTGTCAAAGTAAGTCATGACAAAGAAACATTATACATATATACTCTAAGGGTATAAGACAAATTTCTAACTTAAAAGACAAATTCTTTTTGGAGAAATTTTTCGAATTTCTTCTATATAAGCAAACTTGTTTCAAATATTTCGAGCTATATCACATTTCAAATTATTTTGCTCTCTTTCATTTTCATTCTTGTGTAACTCACTTATTTTGGTAGTAAAATTTTCAGAGCAATAATACTACTTAAGCAGCTTTTCAACACATATCAGCATTAACATAAAAGCCGATAAAATCAAAATGTCAAATGTGACAAAACACTTTCATACGAATACACTCTCGAATAGTCGACAATTATGAGCAAAATGAAATGGAATTGAACCCTTTGTGCGTAATAGTGCAAAATCGTATCTCATGAACCTAAGCTATCGTATTTACAATTCAAAATACCGAACGTGTTGATGTCCTCTTGTTTCGCTCACAACGTACACGTACGAACGAGTTAATCGGATTTTACATGCCCCTTAGGGTTATTGAATATGCCTAAGTTTCGTTACTGCTATAGTCAAGTCTGTTGGCTTTAATTGCAATCCGACTTAAATGTGAGGCTAACTTTCGGTGAATTGTGTTGACCTTTCTCATGTATTTGATATACAATGACTTGTGGAAAATAGGCATCTCACAACAAGGTTAAGGAAAGTCTACGATAGTAAAGCGTGCTTTTTTAGACGTGTGGTTTGAGTGATGAGACAATACTTTTTTCGGAGTTGATCTTTTTGACAGCTGTTACTTGATTTATATACTCAGTTTGGTTTGCCATCTCATAATGAGCTTACTTCGCAACAACACGCTAGCAAATCGTGCAAATTTATTACTAAAACGAGATGTCCACCGATACCGATTTTCGATGAGCGATGAAGCTCACTTTTGCTTGAATGGGTACGTTAATAAACAAAATTTTTGCATTTTGAGTGATAATAATCTACAAGCCATTATTGAGACGCCGTTACATCCTGAAAAAGTCATTGTTTTGTGGGCTCTATAGGCAGAGGGAATCACTAGTCTATATTTCTTCAAAAATGAAGCCGACCATAATGTAACAGTTGTTGGGGTCGTATATACTTCGCCAATTTTCAGTTCCGATACTTCTGAAGAGCATGGACACCGATCAAACAAAATTTTTATGTTTGGGGAACAGAAAATCCATTCGAGGTTCAAGAAAATCAAGAATCATTATGCTAAACTTTTTGTCGACGAAAATCGATAGCAATGAATATTGAATTTTTATATCTGTACGTAAATGCAGGTTCGATAAAAATAACCCTGGAAATCTGATAGCAAAAAATTATTACCAGTTTTGATTCCAACTATCTTCATTTTTGCGGAATTATATGAAAATTTTCAGACTCCAATATTCGTGCTAAATTCATCGTTATGACACTCGAGATACCCCTTAAAAGGGTGAGTTCTTTCATAATAATATAATTGATATCCCAAAGAATGAAAACTTACTCGTTTTACCTAAGCCATTTGGTCTACGGTTAACGTTTATCCTAACTGGGCTCGTTTTGTCTATTTGACTGCTACCTTCACTTATGTGTATTCTCGAAAATTTCAAACGAAACCACTATGTACCCAGTTGTTCTCAATTTGCTTGCAATTCTTCGCCCAACTGCCCTACAATACTTGAGACCACAAAAAAGTGTTACAAAACGCTGACAGTGTTCAGAAGTTTATGTCTCGTATAATTTCCGTTGCGCAGACAAGGCCAACCAAGCAAACACCGCATACAAAAAACACGAAATATACACATACATACAATCGAACAGAGCCAACTGGTGCATCCGTACATGCATAGGTGAGTGCGTGCACCTGGTTTTTAGACACCTTTTGAATTCCTAGCTGAGACGTTGACAATAATACCTCATGTCTTCGTCTTTTTTGCTTTCTCTGGTTGCACCTTCTTTTCGGCACACAAAGGCGCTTGATAACGACCCGCAAACCGACAATGAACGTCATGTATATGATGCATGTATTTATATACACACACACACACACTTTACTCGGCTCAAAGTTTCTTAATAAGAGGCGACAGTTTTGACACCAAGTGTGTTTACTTTAACACCAAAAACTAAGCGAAGTGACATAGACTTTCTGTTGGAAGAAAGGAGGTTCGAGACGAAAGGTGGAAGGCAAGGTAATTAAAGTGTTAATGCAAGTAATCAAAGTGGTGATGTAAGTAATCAAGATGGTAATGTAATTAATCAAAGTGGTAGTGTAAGTAGTCAATGTGGTAATGTAAGTAATCAAGGTTTACCGCCTGTAAGTAATCTTAGTGGTATTGTTAGTACTTACAGTTGTTATGTAAGTAATCAAAGTGGTAATGTTAGTAATTAAAGTTGTAATGTAAGTAATCAAAGTGATAATTTCAGTAATGAAATCGCTAAAGTAAGTAATCAAAGTGGTAATGTTAGTAATCAAATTGGTAATGTTTGTAATCAAAGTGGTAATATTAGTAATTAATGTGGCAATTTTAGTAATAAAATCGGACATGCAAGAAAATTCGTTGGATTAAAAATTTTTGTTTGTGTTTACTTGATCAAAGTAGTAATACAAGTAATCAGTGTGATAATTTTAGTAATTAAAGTGACAATAAAATTAATCAAAGCGGTAATTTAAGTATTTTAAGTGGTAATATTAGTAATAAAAATGGTAATAAAAGTAATCAAAGTGGTAATGTAAGTAATCCAAGTGGTTATGCAAGAAAATTCTTTAGAATTTAAATTTGTATTTGGATATGTATGTGGTAAATTATAAAGAATTTAATAGGAAAAAAAAATTAACAAAAGAATCTGAGTATAAATAATAATGAACATTTTTTTATCCCAATATAGACGCTAAAATATTTAATAAAGACCATAGCAAGTGTAACTACATAAGTTCATTTAATAATGATAGTACCCTGTATATACACATGCATATACGCAACTAGCTACATATTCAATTGTTCTTGCCACAAAACACTTGTCACCAACTAAGCAACTTAAGGTAAATAATGTCAGAGCATATATGCTGAGCGAAAATTAAAACAATGTGGGTATCATAAAAAGTTTAGCGGTGGAAAGCACACTGAATTGGATTGGAGCGTTTGTTTGTAGTGTTTATAACTGCTTCAACACTTTCTAATTAACTTTTGCAAAGTTTTTGCTTTTATTTGAAGCGTGAAGCACACAGTTTTCATGCTTTTATCGTCAATTTTTATGAGTTCTCATATATTTTTTTTTTGAATGAACTGTGACTCAGATAAATTAAAAATTTATGTTAGAATGTTGCCACATGATTTAAATTATGAGTGAAAAAAAATTTTAAGAAACATAAGAATATGTTTTTATCAGAATAAAGAATATTTGTTTCATAAATTGAAAAGTTAAAAAAAATTGTATTGTATAAGTATCAAACTGGCAATGTCTAAGAAAACTAACTGTTGAAAATAATTGTTAAGGCATATTGCCACCTTTTTGAAATTTATAAAGAAATATAAAAAAAAACGTTAAGTTTCATATAAAAAGTTTTGCAAACTAAAAAGTTGAAAACAATCGATCGATGTCGATATAATCGATATATAAGACGAGCTTTTTGAAGATATTTTAATGAGATACTATGGAACGAATGTTCCTGTTTTACTGATTCTCCGAAACTTGCATTCTAATTACATGATTTGGTGCTGCTCTATCATCCATTCATATTTTCACACATTAACCACTGTTCCCCTTTTCTTTTTACAGAACATGTCTATTTAGAAATGGCAAAAATTACACGACGTGCCGTTGCCTCGTCGTCGGTAGCATCAACAACATCAACAGACACTTCAAGGTCATCTAGAGCAACGAGTTCTTCCACTTCAAAGGCTTCCAAATCAACTGCTACGGCAAGCGCAACAATAAAAACCACAACGAATGCCAATAACATTATCTATGGCGGTAAGCCAGCACGTTTGGCCGCAACGGATATGTCGGACAAACTGGCAATGCACTCAATGCCACTCACTGCATTTAATGAAAATCCTCCTCTACGCAGTAATGGCACTATACCCGATAAACAGTTTACAACTAACGGGAATAGCGCCTTACACGCCGTCACGAATACAACGACTGGGTAAATATGACGAAAGCATTTATTTACATACTTTCCATTTAACTCTTTATCTATTTTACATAGTACCGCTTCCGTATTCGCCGGCACCAATGGGCGACACAGAATCTTCACGGGTAGTGGACGACACAATAAAAGTCTGGCTGAGCGAAGAATTGAACAGGAAGAATTCTATGCCACTTATGACGTGATGACTGGTGTACGCATTGCCGCAACGCTAAGCGGCTTCTTCGGCTTAATGGTGTTTCTTATTGTTTGGAAGAGTCGCAGTAGTTCCAATGAAACGTTGAAAGTGTTAAAGGTTAGTAGAGAGTTGTGACGTTTGGACACAAATTTTGCGAAGACAAGGGTCTATTGGATAATCAAATTATGGGAAATAGTACAATCTTCAAGAGACCAGATGTTATTAGTATTGAAGACTGACTCTAGAGATCTATTAAATTTTAAGAACTTTCGAACGACCTTTTGTATGAAGATTTTTAACATAGTGGTTCCCAAATTTGCGAAAGTAATCCCGTTAAAGGTAAGATTTCGGAGCTGATCCCCACGATGGAGATCATGGTTTGGACAGCTGAAACCTCGATCCTTTGTGACACTCTTAAGTATGAATCAATAGCCTTTCATGTATTGCATGTATGAGTCTTGATTGCCCGGCCCAGACATGACCTCCAAAGTAAAGTAAGTCATAGAATATCACTCCAACGAAATCTGGACAGTGAAGGAAAAAGTTTCGAAACCATTTCATCTCGTTTACCTCCGCACAACTATGACAAGTGGCGTCTTTCACAAACCTCATCGCAGGTTCAAACCAGAGAGCAAGCAGTTCAGTAAACCTCTAGTATTTCGGATGGACCTCCGAATACAAAGAACAATTAAAAATATATTTAAGCTACCCTAATCTTCATTTCCTTCAAGTGGTAATTTGTAATATTTTTTAGGATCCCAAAATGGCTGCTGTAGCTGCAGTTTGTATGCAAGAGGAGGAGGAGCGTGAAATTCAGGAGGCTATGGTGGCAACTGGCATGTCGATATACCCGGATGAATATGATGCAATTCTCTATCGACGACAACGAATGTTATCATTGGGTAATGTTAGCGCACCACCCATGCTAAACCGAGGATATCGCTTCTCGTCAGTGGGTAAGTAGACTATTTAGTGAGTTAGAAAATGCAGTTTTCAGTTTTTGATTAATTCAAAAAAGATATTCCTACTTTTGAAACTGCAGGTGGTGGTGGCTACAGCAGCCTGCTGGAGCCACCTAGACGTTTTTCCTATTCGGCAACTTCTGGTGTAGGCAGCTTCACAGGCGGCCGTCGAAAAAGTGGCTCAGAGTCGTCACGTATACTTAGTAACTATCCTATGGGCAGCAGTTTCGGCAATGATGATTACTTTATAGAAACCGAGGATGAATTGGAATGCACCGACTATCCACGTAGTGGGACACATCTTGACGAACTGCCGGATATGCCACAACGCACTGATTCAACGAAAAGTAAACGTGGATTTCTAGAGGTACCACCAGCGGTAGGTTAAACATTTCACCAAATATTTACTTAATGAAGCAACAAGCTTTCTTCTATAGGGACAAGATTCGCGACGTAGCAGCGCAATGACATGTTGCAGTACTGAAAGCTCTTATTTGGAGCGACGCTGTTCGGCGTTTACCTTAGGGCTGGGCAATCTACCGCCGACACTTCAACGAAAACTATCGACAACCTCACGCGCATCGAGTACTGACAATTGGGATTACTATTACCCCGATATACAGGTCATACAACCAACACCGAAACCTTCACCTTGTCCATCGGAGCGTAGTCTTTATGAACAACTACAGGCGCATGCCAATGGTGCTTCCACCTCGAGCGCTAAGGGGACTGGCAAAGGCGTTGACGTACTGCCGGACAACTTACACGTAGCCACTATCACAACACATAGTAAGACTGGCACAACCAATACTGTGGTTACAGGTGATACGAGAGGCGCTAGTACACCAACAGATGCGCAGAAATTTGTGCGTAAGCACAGTATAGCCTATTATGACCCGGAAAGTGCACAGGCAGGTCGTAAACAAGAAATACACTCGATAAGCGCCGACACGGTGGACATCTATCCTTATAATCAAACCCATTATGAAACGCGTGGTACGATTGGTTCCAGTGATGCTGCTAGTACCGCACACAAGTCTACACTGCAATCTGTGCCGACAACAAGCGCTCAGTACGGATTCCATTACACCGATTCGCCGACGGAAGATTCCCGTGGTAGTCTGCGCGGCAAGGTCACGGTAGTTGAACTGCAACGTCGCACCTATCCAACAGAACAGATGACGCCGCCGCCCATACAAGAGCACAATAATAATAATTTTTCATACTCCAGTACCGCTGCTGCCATAGCGGCTGCTGCAGTTGTTACCGCCAACTCCAGTAGCATCAGCATCGATAGCACGCCCATAAGTTTGGATAGACTGAATGGCAGCGGCAGTCTGGGTACCATATCAGCAAAAGCACTTTTCAATGTAGAGAAGCGAGCACCGCTCGCCTCGCTTAGTTCCTTTAAAATCTCGTCATTGGAGTATCAAGACTCGGAGGCGCGTTCCGTTGACGAGGACTCAGTATTCCTGGATAGTGTTGCCGACACCGATGAGGATATGCAACAGCTGAGTAGTGACAGTGATGAGGTCAGCTTCGGTGAACATGATCCTACTAGTATGCGTGAGAACGTAGCGCTTGTCGTAACACAAGATTCCGTCGGCAGCAACAATGCCGAGGCAAGGGCAACAGTGCATACGCGACCGCAGCCACTCAAGTATCCCATCGAAAAGCGTTATAGTCTGGGCGCTGCTTGCAATGCCGGTGTCGCTGGCACCAAACTCTCACGCGCACGACGTCCACTGCTGCAACGCCATCGCACAATCAGCGTTTCTTCCAGTGATCGTGTAGCTTTAATCGGCCATCAGCTCAAAGAGTTTCAACACACTGGCAGCGGTAGCCATACACCAACCACCATCGCTGAATCGGTGCCACTGGAGACGCATTTCGGTTCGATTATTTGCACCAGTAATTCACCCACACATCCGCGACGCGCACAATTACTGCAACAGTATAGCGATCCGCAAAGTCTGCCGACTACCACCACAACTACAGCCACAACGGAGGAGGACACCTGCTCTACTTTGAATACGGAACTATGCGGTGGTAATGCTGGCGGACAGGGACCGAGCGGTAGTGGTAGTGGCGGTACCGGCGGTGGCGGTGGCTCAGCGACACTAACACAAAACAGCAGCTTAAATACGGTCGTTAGTTTTGGCCGCTCGAGTCCGCTCACGGACAATAACAAAAAGAGCTGTAGCCTTAGTGCTGGCACAAGCGCTAACGCAAACCAGCTCTATATTACAGAAAAACAAAAGGCTTCGAAAAATCAAACGAACAAAACACAACCACAACTGCCATGCTCCAGACTCTATGATGACCCTTGTGCCTCCTCGGTCTCCGACTCGTTGATCATCACTTCAACAACGCGACAGCCAATAATTTGTATGCCAGCATCGCTGAAAAACCTCATCCTACGCGGTTCCGGTGCCGGAACCAGCACTACTACAACAATCGCAGATAAGTCAGTCGACTCGCCCAACCTGTTGGTCAGCCGAAGTGCTACTAATTTGAGCGCGTCGAATACAAATGCGCGCGATAGTGAAGATCGGTCCAGTCGTTCGGTTATGCTGGAACTGCCTCTAATAAAGTTACCTACCGATGAGAGCTCGGAAAGTTCGTCAGCGTCGGAGGGGAATGCACAACGTGCACAAAGTAAAAGCGAAGGTTCACGCGAACCCAGTTTGACAAGAAATAGTCGAAAATGGTCAAAGGAAACACTGTTCTAGCTAGGAACCAAAGCAAGACGCACCAGCTACAAAATGGGTTGAACACACAGCGTTCAACAAGTTTAGGAATATGTTACTCACAGTAGCTGAAGAGTTACAAAAAGCAAAGAGGTTAATAAAGCAGCGCAGGTGTGGTGTAAAATAGTATAGAAGAAAGACTGCAGTTTGGATAGTGCAAAGCATCGTTGCATCCACGTTGAGCTCTTCGACTGCCCCGCTAAGGAATTGCATTTGCTGTTGTGTGACACAAAGTTGGCACAATAACTTTTTACAGGAGCTTAGTATGTATCAGATTTTGCAAAAAACCAAAAAACTAAGAAACTCAAAAAAACGAAAAAACAACTAATGAACTATAATTGTAAACTAAGAGATTTAGCATACAAATTATGTAAATGAAAATATTTTTATTTATAAGTGAAAAATACAAATCACAACACGGAAACGGGTGAACTTAAAAGCATTTCGTGCGTAATTTATGCGATTCAAATTGTTATATGTACGAGTATTTGATAGTAAATAACTGCATACATACATACATTGTGAAATTATAAGAAGAAGAAAAAAACACTTTCATCAAAATATAGATATTTAGTAATTCATAAGCTTTAAAATTTACTTTAAATTGAGGAGCGAATTGAAACTCGGGCGAATAGACTTCACACTAGGAAATGGAATATTTAATGAACTTGAAATGGCCTTAACTTTCTTCCTAAGTTGCATATAATAAAAAATTTAAATTACAGTGTGGAACATAGAATCACGAACACCTATTTAATTCTTTTATTTTTGTATGCAGTGTAAGATTTTGTTTAGTATGAAAAATAATTGAAGTGAATATTTTGTATGAGAGCCACTTTGTTTTACGCCGCTTTGACTTACATATTTACTACCAACTAATAAGAGGTTCTCAGCAAGTGCGGATTGAAACGTTATATATAAAACGACTACTGTATTATTTGTTTTAAAATTTTCAGGGTATACCTATTTATACAAATTTTAAGAATACACAATAATATTTTTGAAGAAAATATAGAAAAAATTTTATATTTTCGTGTTACACGCAATCCCCGAAAGCGCTAACAAAAGGTCCTTCACTGCTGCTGTGATTCCGAAAACAAGCTCTACTAGAAGATATTAATCGTACAAAATGGCGGCATTTTAAAATAGGTTGAATTTTACTCAATTTGGTCGTTTTGGCCGAAATTCGATTTTTTATCTCAGATCAAAAAACTGGTAGGTCATTGTATCAAGAACTATATACAGAACATGCATAAAAAATTTGATGGTAATCAGAACATTTGTCTCCGAGCAATCACTGCAGCATATACGAAAAAGGTTGTTCCGAGAAAAAAGCGTTTAAAGATAAACGATAAAGCTGACGTGGACTACGCGGCTACATTTTGGCGGGCTGTAACTCAAACTATTTTGGGAATATTCATTAAAACTTTGAGTATGTTTTTTTTAAAGGTATAGACTAACGGAATATAAAAAAAAGAAACTTTTTTTTTTATTTCACACTAGGTGTGCCCTTAGCGTTCGAAACGACAATGCTAGGTCTAATAAATCCGATTGTATCTGAACGACGGTATAGGTTAAGCTGACTATAGCGGAACCTATTCATTAGCACTGATCAGCTTATTTATAACCACGCGATGGGTATACCATCTACCGTTAGAGTAGTAGACAAATCTATAAAGTTTTCATTATCTCTATTCTATAGCACATGCGTTGAAAATGGTCTCACTAATCGCGGCTCTTATAACAGAAGTCTTTATACCGAGTTTTGATCTTTGTAAAAAATATATAAAGCATGGTCTAAATGTTATTGTAAAGCTATTGTGGTGGTTGTTGTTATGCTAGTGACATTTCCCAGCTCACATTAAGGATTTCAACGGATTAGACAGGCCGAAAAAACCAACCAACTTTCGTGGAAACAGAAAACTAAAGAGTAGCTAAGTTTTAGTGACATTAGTCCCTACTTTCAGCTATACCTTGAAAACCAGCATATACCCAGAAAACCAACCAAACAGTGACTAGGGATAGTTTAGGATTTTTTGCGCGAAAACTCATTTAAAAAAAATCTCGAATGATCACGAATTGATATTTTGTACCTATACACATTTATTAATATTAATATTTGAGTATGGAAATGTCATTCATATGACTCATAACATAGTTATGAGCTTGGAAACACTTGAGAGCTTTTGTATAGATTCTTCTTCAAACTTTCAAGTTAAAAGACATAACAAAGAGTTTAAGTAAAGATATATGCGATTTACAACAGGCTAATGTCCAAGTACAGCCTTTGGATGATTTAGTTGAGAGGTTTAAGGCATATACTGCTGATATATTCCATAGCGACTCTTTCGAGTAAACCGTACTTGAATAATTGTTTTTATGGTCGGAAATTGGGGTTGATCGAAAAATATACCTTTCTCAGAAAATAAGAACCCTTTGAATGAATTATTTTGAAGAAGAAATTTGGGTCAATCCAAAAGTTCACCATTCTAAAAGTTCATATTATATGGATTATAAGCAGGGTTGCAAATAATGCATTAAAAAATATTTAATTAAGATTTGAATTAACATTGGAATTAAATTTTTTTTTAAGTCCGCATAACGGATTAAAATATATTTTAAAAATATTAATCCGGTATGTTGGATTAATTATTTATTTTTGATTTTTAGTCCCAAATACCCAACTGAAAAATAAAAAAGAAAAATTTTATTCTTAAACATATAATTAAGAATTTAAAAAAGAATTTGCTTTAGAATTAACATTTTTTTGTGTTTATTCAAATCAAAAAGTAATATTTTCAAGTTTAAATTTTTACTCCCAAACATCTTGAGTTATTTTTTAATCGCGATGTTGGGATTAAAAATTAAATTTTCATTTTTTAATGCAAAATTTTTGAATTAATAAATTCGCAACCCTGATCATAAGACATTTCCAGGAATAGGAACTCATCTATTTCTCACTGAAAAATCCTAATCGGTCTATGAAATTAAGCAAACATACATAATTTTTGTTATAAAAAATCATAAAAAATGCTACTCTTCGGCAAGCTTTTGAAAGTTGTGTAGCGAACAAAAAACTGGCATAAATCAAATATGATCTCAGAGATAAAATAGCTAGCGGTTATATTACTTTTATACATATAAAAAGCTTGACAAGAGAGCCGTGCATAGCAGCCAACAAAGTGGCAAGCCGAAGATGGCTAGCACAATTCTAGATAAAACTGTAAATAATATTTTGTACAATTGAATAAACCTAACGAAATATCTTCAAATGTCTATCAATTACTTTGGTAGGCACAATTTTTAGAACTATTAATATTGTTTTAGTAATAAAAAACTTTTTGATACGATTTGAATGAGTGGCTTAGTAGCGACTCTGTTCGTGTCAAGTAATTATGTTTTGAACTTTTCATGATCCCAAAGTGTTGAAAAATGTATGCCGAAGTAGAATAGAAACAAGTGCAGAACTGTTTTTTTTTTTTTAAATCATTGATATTTAGAGCGTGTATGGGTAACTTTTTGAAAATTTCAAGCTGTTTACAAAATTTATTGCGTTTTTCGTATAATTTATTTTTATTTATGGTATTTTTGACAGGATTGCTAAAGCTTTGATAAAATTAAACTTAGAAACTTTGCTCTAAAGTCACGTGAAAGCGTGAAATTATGGTTGGAAGTGTTTATAACCTTTCTTTAGCTTTCGTGCAAGAGTTTAAAGCAAACGTTTTAATCGAGAACTTGCCGAACTTATTACAAAATATAATTTCGTCAAGCATTTTATCATACATAACATAATTAGCGGTTGTTTAGCAGTTATTTTTGTTATCACTTATAAAATTTGTTAAAATTTCCATAAAATTTTTTTCGTCACAAGAAAAACTACCAAATAAACGAACATATACGTAGTAATAAGAAATACTATAAAACCAAAAGAAAATGCAACAACTTTAGGGACTATTAGCATGTAGAATGACTTCACTACTTATAAAATTTCAAAAATATTTGATTTTCAATACTTTACTATTACAACTACAACTACTTTAGCGGTACAGAATAGCACAATAGATTATAAATGTGAGCATTTCAAGAAGCATAAAAATTAAATATAATATTTATTTATATGTATGTATGTAAATGTAGGAAACGTGTGCCTAAAAGTTGACATACGCACATTTTCAAAAGGTTTCAGTTTCATTTATGAATTTCTCTAATATTTTAAGTTAAACGAAAATCACGTATTTGTTGTCTTCAAAGCTAGTGTTTAGTGTAATAAAATAATAATAAAACAAAAAGAATATGTGTATCATATGCGAATAGAAACAATTAGGACTTCTCTTCATGCCTTCCTTCAAACCCACCCAAAGTGCATATACCTGAGAACAAAAAAAAAACATAAAATATAACAATTTAAAATTAAAAAAAAAAAAATTACAAACAGAAAGAAAAAACAAAAACTAAAATTAAAAAATCAATTACAAAGCAAAAAATGTAACTTACGTCATACATATGTATGTCATGTTAGATAATTACGTAATTTAAGTAGAGATTGCACGCATGTAACCCAAATTATAAGAAAATAATAACAAAATTAAAAGAAAAAATTTAAAAACATATACATTTTTTTATAAAACAAATAATTGTTACAACAAATAATTGCAATAAAAATCAATAACAATTGAAGAAAAATCATTTAATATAACATAACTGTATATACGAAAAAAAACACAAACCGAGTTTATGAAAAATAGTAGGCTACTGTGTTTGTTGCATGTACTTCCGCGCCATTCAAATGACATGCATACACACGTACATTCATATGTGTTAGCTATAGCCACATTTACATACATAGTTGCATAAATTAATGTACCATACACATGTATGTACTTATGTGTACTGTGTGTTATAAAATAGTTAGTATACTTTCTACTTTGTATAGACCTATTCCTAGTTTAACCCACCAAATATAAAGTGGCGTGCACATACATTTATACTATATTCATGCATACATATGTATGTATAAGACATACAAACAAACAAAATTAAACATCACTACTCATAAATAACATAAAAAACAAAAAATATTGCAAGTAAAAACACTGATTAGATTTCGTACAAAATCGTGTAATCATCTCTCGTATTTTTCTATGAAGTTTCAGAATGCATACTTATACATATATGTATATGTATTTATTACATTTATGCATAGAAAACCATATTTTTTACCTACATACATACATATATACATACATACAAACATTTTAATCATATATGAGCTAGTCCTCGAAGCCAACACACTGGTACCTTCATGTTACGGATATATGGTAGTAAAGTGAGAATATATGTAAATATGTATGAATTTAAAAAAATATCATTTTCCTGTTAGATGCGTGCAAACATACCAACATACTATATATTTATATCTAATATAAGCCTTTTATACCAAGCTGCTTACGTACATACATATGTACTCACTTGTAAAATATATTAAAATATGAAAACTACACACACATACATAAGTACATTTTTCCAGCGAATTTAAAACGTAACTATGTTGGAAATTATTTAAAAAGCAAGAAAAAACGTTAACTTCAATTGTACCGAAGTTATAATACCCTTCATAAATAAACAAAAAAAAGTTTCTTTCGAATAACTTGATTTTGATCGATCAGTTGTATGACAGCCATAAGCAATAGTGGTCCGATCAAAATAGAATTTTCGTAGATTGTAGCGATGCCTTGGCTTATAAGCTATGAAAAAATTTCGTGAAGATACCTTGTAAAATGTAAAAGTTCTCCATACAAGCACTTGAGTTTGATTGTTCAGTTTATATGGCGGCTATATGTTATAGTTCTCCCATATCGGCGGTTTCAAAAAATGAGCAGCTTTTTGGTGAAAAAGGGACGTGTGCAAAATTTCAGATCGATAACTCAAAAACTGAAAGACTAGTTCGCGTATTTACAGACGGACATGGCTAAATCGATTCAACTGGACGCGCTGATCATTTATATACGAGTATAAATATAATTTATAGGGTCTGTTCAGGATATAACATAAAAACAGTTTGAGAACCTGGCCGACGTAATCCAACGGCAAGACCAAATGCAAGAAGCCCAAACCCCTTTCCTGCTAAATCAACAGCGACCATACTCATCAACAAGGGATACAAACTTGTCGATGACGTTAAAATCCCGACAGTGAGCAACCCCAAAATTTTGGGTGTTACAATTGATAATCTGTACTCCTTCACTCTGCATACGATCGCGATTGTTACCAAAGTACAAAGCCGCCAAAAGATCCTCAAATCGTTAGCCGGTAACACCTGCGTTAAGGACAAAGAAACTTTGCTGGCCACTCACAAGGCAATCGGCTGACTCGTCATTAATTACGCAGCCTCGATATGGTCGCCTAGATGCAGCAGAAGAAAATACAGACAAGTCAGAACACCGCACACCCGTATATCACAGGATATCTCTTGATGACCCCAATAGTTATCTTTTGAAACATTCAATTTTACAATATTTCGATTCCTATTTGAGTTTGATTGATAATTAGTTAAACTTCACATCCACAAACAAAAAATTTATCTTTTCGCTGGAAGAGAAACACACACACATAAATGCACACAAGCTCATACAAACCTAAATATCTGGAACGTAAAGAATGCTGGCAGCATTGCTACTTCATAACTGTTTAGAAATATTTAAAGTATATTAAAAAAAAAATAATAGGAAATATTCACAAAAAATTAATAAAATAAAATAATATAGATAAATGCATGTGTAAAGGGTTTTAAGTTTAAACGAGGAATAATGTTGCAATTACACATGATTGTAATTAAACAATTGCTGAAGATCATTACTACCAAATTGTTAATAAAAAAAACTACAAACTAAATCTAGAAAATATTAAAGAGAAGTTGAATTAGAGTTAAGCTGATATAAAAAGATGGTATTATAGTTACAAAAATATAGCTGAATTAATTGTAGTAGGAATATGTTGAAGATCTTGAAACTAAAAAAGAATAGAAAATAATTATGTACAGATACGATGTCTAAAAAAAACCGAAAATATGAGCATGAACTGTTAAGAGTTGAAGCAAATTGTAGAGCACAAGGAAGTAAAGTATTAATTAAAAATAATATCAAAACATTATGATTAGCTCATCGATTAAGCTGTTACTAGATAAACTTACATATTTTGGCGATGAAATTGAGTTAATAAATCGAATGTTTGCAATAAATGGGAAAATGAAAAACATTACTTTTTCAAAAACAACAACCAAAAAAAAAACTATTTCGCAAGAAAACAAAATTTTTTCTACTTTTATTACAAATTTTGTTCACTAGAAAGTGCAACTAATATGATTTCCTTTAGTAATATTATTTGCTTACAATGACATATATTTTTAGACTTTAATTATTTATTTTACAAAACGTAATTGAAAGGTTTTAAATGGCAACTCGATTTTGTATCTATAACTTCTAATGTTAAATAATTACTTTAAATTTACGATAATAAATTAGCTTAAATTAACGATAAAAAAAACTTAAAAAAATTGTAAGTATTGCATACAATACAATAAAACGTGAAATTAGTTTATAAAACGAAATCCTATTGAAAACTAAAATTGTTATTAGCGAACAAAATGTTATGAATTTTAGTTAAATGTTATAAATAAAAGCAAACAAATGTAACGGTAAGATTAATAAAAGAAATAACTAAGTGAGTTTATGTAAATGTTAGCGCTGTAAATTTAAGTAAAAAAGGGTAAAATTAATTAAAATGAAAAAAATAAAGTGACAGAACAAACTATTACATACATACATTATAAAAATTTGTTTGATTTTTAACTTATATTGCCTATAAGGCGAATGAACTGAGTATATATATTTGTTTTAGGGTCCTTATTGAAAAGCCGTGAATGAAGTTGCTGATTTAAAATAAAAATCCTTAAAACCCACATTCATATCTCATAATTTTTGTTTGCTTAAAATTTCGTAATTTAATTTGAACTTTAAATTAATAAAATAACTTACCTTGCGAAAACTTGAAATTTCTTTTTAGCAGGCACACTCAATTAAATCAATCAACGCAAACTTGCAAAAATTCTGGCAATGCAAACATTTGACACACACACACTTGTATAAAAATTTCGCAAAAAAATTTGTTTTTTTTTTCATTTATGTCATTTTTTTTTAATTAAATAAAACTAGTTAGTTGATAGATGAGATGAGTTGGATGAATGCGATGTTTGGCGGCTTAATTATATTAATCAATTTAATATCTATATTTTGTAGAATAGTCTTTTGGCGATACCACTAGACCACGACCTTTGCGTGCACCACGATATACTGTCTCCACAATATCGATCATTTCTTGCTTATCCTCAAGCGGCCAATTAATTTTGTTGTTATTACCAGTTCCCAAATCAATCATGATATGTTTATTGCGGAAGAAAAACATTACGGTGCAGGGATCGTATAATTCGTACATCTTATTAAAATCGGGCACCTCAGTGATGTCCACCAAGTAAATTACAGCGAAGTTTTTCACTTTCTCCGCTATGCTGTACATTACTTCGTCCATTTTCATGCAAGCGGGGTCCCAATCGTGGCCAAAACGAATAACCTGTATAAAAAGATAAACTGATTAAAATTTAAAGCAGACTTATTTAGTATAGATAAATCTTCCAGAAACTACTAAGTGCACTCACCACTACGCGATCTTCCTCGGACAGGATGGCCTGATCGACTTGCCAGCCATTGTGTAAATGTGGTAGCATATAAGACATTTTGACAGTTTTTTATTTAAACAATCCGCAAATTAATAAAAAGATTGGTTCTTAATATGTTTACAAAGTTCTTCAAGAACAAAATTATGTATTTTCTTAAACGTTTACAAACGCACGTTTGACGATCAGCTGTTGTACTTGATAGCAATAGCAGTTCGAAAATCGAAATTTCAGCTGGTACGAAGCTGTCAACAATTGCGAATAATGAAATTTTGCATTCACACAATTTGAATAGTTTAAGAATGTACACATTAACATCTCAAGCCAACTTTAAGAAAAATTAAACATAACAAAACGCGTGAAAAACGTATTGCGTTATAATATCGTGGCTAAAATAAAAAAAGTATTATGAAAAATCCACACTAATACATCCAACCGCGTTGCCAACTATTTTTATATACGAACGGGCTGTCAAATACAAAAATTTTGCTCCAATTGCTGCCGGGAACACGTTGCAGTTTTGTTTAATCGATCAGTTTTTGTTTCTTTATCGGACATTTAAATATATTTATTGTATTTCAATAAACGAAATTGTGCAAAAACAGGATGGTAAGTTGCATGTGTGAGAATAAACACTCGCCCAACGAATTACAAGAACGTTTCCAGGGTGTGTTTATTTTGGTTTTTCTATGAACATACATTCTGATGCAATCTCCCTTGCCAAGCTAGTGATTCATGTTTTATTCAATTGGAATTAAAATTCTGTATTAAATTATAGGCTAATGTCGAAAGAAAGGGCACCTTCAAGGTGGAATATCTTCAACAAATCGAGCGTGAGATGCAACAGCGTTGGGAAAATGAGCATGTGCATGAAACGGATGCGCCAGTAGAGCCACGCAAAAGTTTGGATGAGAAATTTTTTGTAACATTTCCTTTTCCTTATATGAATGGTCGTCTACACTTGGGTCATACATTTTCGCTCTCGAAAGCCGAATTTGCTGTACGGTATCATCGGTTGAAAGGAAGGCGTGTACTATGGCCATTTGGTTTTCACTGTACTGGCATGCCCATCAAAGCATGTGCGGATAAGTTGAAACGTGAAATGGAAGATTTTGGTTATCCACCAAAGTTTCCAACCGATGACACACCCGCCGAAATAGAGGAGCCAAAACAGGGCGATGTACCCAAAGATAAATCTAAGGGTAAAAAGAGCAAGGCAGTGGCCAAAACAGCAGCAGCCAAATATCAATGGCAGATCATGCAAAGTCTAAGATTGACAGACGAAGAGATTAAGTGTTTTGCTGACACCGAACATTGGTTAAACTATTTTCCGCCTTTGGCCATTAAGGATCTCAAAAATTTGGGAATACATGTGAGTGACAGTTGTATAACAGTTACACAAAAATAACTATTTATAAATATTTTTTTTTATGCATGTGTAGGTGGACTTTAGGCGCACTTTTATCACGACAGATGCAAATCCTTTCTTCGATTCCTTTGTACGTTGGCAGTTCTTGCATTTGAAAAATCGCGGTAAAATTATGTATGGCAAACGATACACTATCTATTCGCCAAAGGATGGCCAGCCCTGCATGGATCATGATCGTTCAAGCGGTGAGGGTGTAGGTCCGCAAGAATATACTTTGATCAAAATGCGAGTGCTTGAAAAACCGGCCAAACTTAGGTAAGTGTTTAAGTTATACTTTTAATATAAAAAAAAATTAAATAAAAATCCATTTCAGTGCTGTGAATGTGCCCATCTATATGGTTGCCGCTACACTTCGTCCCGAAACTATGTATGGGCAAACCAATTGCTGGCTGCATCCCGACATCAAGTACATTGCTTGGCAAGTTACACGCAGCAATGAAGTGTGGATTAGCACACGTCGTGCGGCACGCAATATGTCTTACCAAGGTTTTACCGTCGAAGAGGGTAAAGTTGTAGAGATTGCTGAACTGACTGGACAGGAACTACTAGGCACACCACTGTCCGCACCAATGACATCACACAAACTCATCTATACACTGCCAATGTTATCGATTAAAGAAGACAAAGGCACAGGCGTGGTAACATCCGTGCCATCCGATTCACCTGACGATTATGCTGCTCTGGTAGATTTACAGAAGAAGGAGGCATTCCGGCAAAAGTATGGTATCACGGATGAGATGGTGCTACCTTATGAGCCTGTGCCGATCATAGAGGTGCCCACTTTGGGCAAGACTTGTGCTGTCTACGCATATGAAAAACTGAAGATTCAGTCACAAAACGACAAAGACAAATTGGCCGAGGCGAAAGAGCTTTGTTACTTAAAAGGTTTGTAATACATTGAAGTTCTCCTAAGAATATATGTAAATTTGATATATTCGCAGGTTTCTATGATGGCGTGCTTTTGGTGGGCGAGTTTGCCGGACGCAAAGTGCAAGATATTAAAAAGGATTTGCAGAAAAAGCTTGTGGCCGCAAATGAAGCTGAAATCTACTACGAACCCGAGAAAACCATAATTTCGCGTTCGGGCGATCAGTGCGTAGTTGCGCTTTGCAATCAATGGTATCTGAATTACGGTGAACCCGAATGGCAGGCGCAAGCCAAGAAAAATCTCAGCAAAATGGAAGTTTACCACGAGGAGGCGCGCAATAATTTCGAAGCTTGTTTGAATTGGTTGCACGAATATGCCTGCTCGCGCACATATGGCTTGGGCACCAAGCTGCCCTGGGATCAACAGTGGCTTATTGAATCGCTGTCCGACTCCACCATTTATATGGCATTCTATACAGTTGTGCATCTGTTGCAAGGCGGTTCGTTTAGAGGCGAGAAGCCAAGTCCCTTAGGTAAGCAAATACAAGCTGCCGGTTCTGCGACATAGAGCCGGTAACCCCTGAACATCTGCTGATGAACTGCACAGCAGTCTGCAGACGCAGAATCAAGGCCCTGGGATCCATGTTTCCACACAGGGATTGTATCGCCTCACTAGCACCCAGCAGAATTTTGGAATTTATCAACATGCTGGGCCTAGATGATACGATATGACGTAGGGGAGGGCACAATAGACCATAGGTTGCGGTGCATACCTCGAAATTAATCTAAGCAAATACACAAAGAACTTAAAATTATACCGAACAAAATTTAAAGTTTAGCTTAGAAGAATAACATATACTGATACAACTTACTTTCCATTAGGCATAACTGCAAAGGATATGATACCCGAAGTGTGGGACTACATATTCTTCAACGAAACCCCATACAGCGATAAGCTGCCAGTAAAGAAGCAGTCACTCGATATATTACGTCGTGAATTCGAGTACTGGTACCCGATGGATTTGCGAGTAAGCGGCAAGGATTTGATAAACAACCATCTAACATTCATGTTGTACAACCATACCGCCATTTGGCCAAATGACGAAGGCAAATGGCCACTGGGCGCACGTGTCAACGGACATCTGTTGTTGAATTCTGCAAAAATGTCCAAATCTGATGGCAATTTCCTAACACTCTACGAAGCTGTAGAGAAATTCTCAGCCGATGGCACGCGGCTCTGCCTGGCTGACTCTGGCGATAGCATAGAGGATGCCAATTTTGTTGTGAGCACTGCCGATGCTGGCATTCTGCGTCTGTACACATTCATTGAGTGGGTAAAAGAGATGTCCGCCTCGCGTACTCTGCTGCGCAAGGGCGCCGCCGACACCTTCAATGACAAAGTATTCATCAGCGAAATGAATTTGAAGACGCGCGAAACCGATGAAAATTATCGCAAAATGCTGTTTAAAGAAGCCTTGCGCACCGGCTTCTATGAGCTGCAATTGGCGCGTGACAAATATCGTGAGCTGTGCGGTGCGCAGGGCATGCACGAAGACTTGGTATTCGAGTTCATACGTCGGCAAGCGCTGCTGGTGGCGCCAATTTGTCCACACGTCGCCGACTATGTATGGGGTTTGCTGGGCAATAAGGAGTCCATTGTGCATGCACGTTGGCCGGAGGTGGGCGCAATTAATGAGATTGAAATCAAATGCTCTGAATATCTCATGGAGGCGGCGCACACGTTCCGTCTGAATTTGAAAAACTTACTGCAAGTCAAGGGCAAGGGTGGCAAAGAGAAGGCGGTGGATCCCACAAGCGTAAAACCGAATCGTGCCTTAATCTGGGTCGCCAAAACATACCCGCCATGGCAATGCTGTGTGCTTGACACACTGCGCGAAATGTACTCCAAAGACGGCAAGTTCCCGGAAAATAAAGTCATCGCTTCGACGCTGCAACAGAAGGAGCAGCTAAAGAAATTCATGAAGCGCGTGATGCCCTTCGCACAAATGATACGCGAGAAGGTGGAGGGCGGCAAAGGTGTAGAGGCGCTCGCCATCAACTTGGAGTTCGACGAACGGCAGGTGCTGCTCAACAATCTCGACTACCTGAGCAATACTTTGGATGTAAGTGAATGCGGAAAAATTACATTTTCTTTTAAATTTGTATTCTTTTATGTCTTATTTATGCTTTCTTTAGGTGGTTGACATTGAAGTGAAATATACGGACGATCCGGAAGCACCAGAAAAAACACGTGAAGAAGTACGTCCCGGCTCACCTTTCATAGCGTTTATTATCGCGCCTAATGTAGCAGTTGAATTGATTAATCCAATCGAGCGTTCCGGCTTGTTTCAAGTAAACACCGTTATATGTGAAGGTGAGACAGTGCAGCAACTGACCGAAAAGCTGGCGAAGATGATAAACTTTAAAGGTGCGCTTAAATATGAGACAAACTAAATTATAAACTCTTAACTATTCACTAAATTAATTAGCTAAAAATATTTAAATTTTCTTTTTTTTCTACTTTCCAGCTGATTTGTCAACACTCAAACTCTGGCGCTACAATGATCCATTGCTCGGACCACGCCAAATACCCGAATTTCAAAATTACCAACAAAATAAAACTCCGCTTACCGACGGCGCATTCATACTGGACGTGGAGAAGAAACAAGTATCCTTGAAAGTCGAAGACAAAGTTATCGAAGTTGGTACTAACTTTATTTATGTCGTGGATTAGCTGCTCGTTGTTACAACACAAAGCAAGCAACATTAAATTGTTTAATGTGCGCGTGTTTTAATTTATATAATTTATATTCGAACGTAATTATTTAAAGAACTGAAATTGTTTTTTCTTTCTTTTTTTTTTTTTTGCTTTCCGAGAAGCGCTTAACGTAATAGGTTTTTGAATTTGAGGCAAATAAACAGCTGTTACAGCTACAAAACTGAGCTATACTCGTATATATTTATTTTTTGCACTTTTTTTTCTAGATTTGTGTCGTAATGTTGTTATTATTGTAGCGCCAGAAAATATTCTCCAAATAATTTTAGGAAATGCTGCCGCGTTGACAGTTCTTTTCCGATTATAAATTCGGGTACATTATGGTTATGTAGACCCGACTGTCGTATACCTTGTTTAATTTGCTGGCAGATAATTTTTAGCACAATGACGGTCTTTCCACATCCATCTGTTAGTTAATTGACATCAGTCAGCAGTTTTATCAGCTTCCTCAAGGTTTGAACGTGATTGCACTCCAATTTCTGGAGATCGCCTATGTGAAAATACTGTAATTTTGAAACCTGATTCGAAGTTTATGTCGATGCTTACTCTAACAAGCCATTTCAAGTCCAAAATACACCTAAAGGTCTGACATGGCTTGTCAAAATCTATTATGTTGTCTTGTTATTTTATCGGTATTAAACATTTTATAAAGATTTTGGGAGAAAATTGAGACACATTGATGAAAGAGTTTCGAACAGTTTGCAGCCAACAGAAAGCATTTCGCTATCTCTTTCTAGTCACGTTGTTTGATGTAATATATGTATGATCGGAGATTGTAGCCTTGCCTCGGACAAAAATCCAACTTCGTGTAGATATTTTGTCAGATTTAAAACCTTGCCATTCAAGAACTTGACTTTGATCGGTCAGTTCGTGTGGCATATTGTTATATATGGAAATTTTTGATCGATATCTCAAAAAATGTGGGATTATATCACGTATATACAAACAAACAGCCGAATATGTCCGACTCAACTGAGACTAAATTGACTCAGCTATGTCACGCTAATCACATATAAAAACAATTTATAGGATCTCCGACATTTCCTCAAAAGTCAAGAATTAACAGTAAAGTGGCTACAAAACAAATTTTACATGAGTCTGAAGATTTTAAAATAGAGCAAGACCGGTAGTGTCCAAACGCGATTGTAGACCTTAATTTTCCCACATTATTTTTTAAAACTAAAAAGAGAAACCTCAAACATTCGACCTTAAATGTGGGTGCATTCTTTTGCCCCATTTAGCATATTCCAATGTCGACGAACTTTATTAAATCTTAGTTTCCGAGACTATTTTGAAATTTTACAGGCATAGGTTAGGCGATATTGATCCACAGTTTGATGCGATGTTAGATAATATAGATTCATTCTTATATGCACATAAAAAGACTTCAAAGAAAAACTTAGCACGTATGCTACTCCCGATTTTTCGTAATTTTCATTTGAAAAGTAGGAAAATAATAATAATAAATTTTAGAGTGCATTGCTTTAGCTATTTCGAGTCCGAATCTTGATCTTTTTGTTTAGTTGGTGAATAGTGGAACTACTGGCTTTATATGGCAGTGATGTACGAGTTTGATGATGGTGTATGTTTGATTTTGAACTAGTTGATAGAGGAAGATTCGGTCGAAACTCGTAACAGGTCCAGAGACCAGTCAACCGTCTCATCGTTTTCCCAACAATGTCAACCAAAAACTAATCGTATTCCAAAAATAATAAACATAAGTATGTGCAGGTTCGATCGGAAGGAATATCTTAAAACCTCACGTATATGGTGTCCGTATCATAGGATCTGCTAGTGATCAGAAATGAGATAGGTTAGGTTAGGTTCGATGGCTGATACAGGGTCGCGTCGGCTATATGCAGTTCTTTATGAAACTATACAAATAGAACTCCAGTATCCGATCTTAGAATTCGACAAATCGCCTTGTGGGTAATACAAATTTGCTTAGAAGTTTAATATCTATTCTCACCAGCTTGGTCAGATATCTGAAAGTGTGAGCTCTTTAAGCCTTGATTTCGCAAACGCTGGACAATCAAGAAGTAAGTGTTCAGATGTTTTTACCTCGTCTTCCTCCATAGAGCTTCAGTAGCTGGCAACCGGTAATCATTTCAACCTTATAGCGTTTACGCCTACAAGTTTAAGACAAATAATCTGTTAAACTCACCATAACTAATGAGAAGCTGGCCTTATTGAGGGCAAAAAGCTCAGTGGGTATCTTTAGATTGATTTTGGGCCAAAAGGATCTTGCGACCGACGTTTTGAGATGTTGTTGAGATGAGTTTGTTGTTCTATTTTGACCGCCTTTTAAGTAGAATAGCTAGTAAGATCGTATATACTCTCAATAAAAACAACAACAATTTTATTGTTCAATTAACTTCAAATGTATGCGCATAGGCCTAGTCTATATTTATACAATAAATATTTGCTTGATTTATAAGTTATTGTGTATTTGTTGACTCTGTGCTCATTGCAAAATACTTCGACTATTAATTTTACTCGTTTCAACTGGTTAGATTATCGACACGGCTATAAAGCTTTGCAAACAATAGTTAAAACACAAGACCGACATTTTCGAGTGGCGCATCGGTCTCTTATGTCTGTCTTATTGGCCCAATTTCCAGTTGCAGTGCCAGCACAAAGGTTTAGCTACGCCATGCGAGTTGAGTCGAGTGGTGCTCGTTAGAATCATATCTAAGTGTTCCATATTCAGCGATCGCACAGACATATCTACAAATGTCACCTACATTCTACATACTCGTGTGATCATATTAACTAGTCTATGCTTCAGATAGCACCCGTTAAGGTGAGGCGTTATAAAGCCATGGGCGGTCAAGATTGTCGCGCTCAAGCGATTAGAAGCAACAAAACGAACAAAAGAATGTGATTTTAGCATGAATGGGGTCTAGAAATGCTCGGCGCAAGCGTTACTATGCTATATAAGGTGCAACGATTACCAACCGATTGCACAGTTAGTCGCCGGTTCGATTTCTGTGTAGTGTTGTTGGCGTGTGTGTTGTGATATTGGAATAAAGATTTTAATAAAAATACTTTAAGAAAACGAAAAAACAAAAATGTTGTTCAAAACTACAACATTTTCATTAGCCATCGCCTATTTTGTGTTATGTGCATTAACGTCGGAAGTTGGAGCCGGAGGTGAAATACGAAGAAATATCAGGAGCTGGTCTCACACATGACTTTAAATACCTTGGTCATTTCTCAGACTATTTAGGGACACACTTATTATATATATATAATCCTGAAAAGTGTAAGAGGAACCGAGAGATAGCGAAACTTTGAAAAATGTGCCGAGAAAAAATGCTTACAGTTCGGCTTCGATCTGTAAAGCTAAGCTTAAAATTTTTGGTCAGATTCATTTTTAATATGTATGGTCGATTTTATTTCAAAACTTCACATGATAAAACAGATCATTCCAACAAGAATTAAGACAATGGATGAGACCTTATGCCTACAGGTAGTTGGGTCGAATCTTAGTTGCACATTTAATGACTTTATAGATTTTAAGCAGAAGTTCCTTTGGTTATATCCGTTAAATCCACCACTCACCATTTACCAAGAATGGTTTACTCCTCCAACAAATCGATTATTTAACTTTAAAGAGATCTCTTGAATCGGTGTTCATCAAGCAGGAAGAAACATACAATGGTAATATATTCAAAAATTACCAAGGCTTCAATATAACCATATCATACACTAAAGTTTTAGGGAGTTTTTTTTTCGATTGGCCACTCCCCAAAATTTAACAATTTGAATACAGCTCGGAAATTTCCTTTTCATAAGAATAGCAGACATTTTGATCTTTTCTCCAAGCCAAATAACTTTATCGAAATGCTTATTCGATTCACCACTCTCTTAATTTTGCCGAATCAAATCAAACTTATATAAACACTTGGTATAAAAATAGTAATGTAGAGCACTTCTTCACTTTTCTTCTATAAATGCCAGAAATTATCACAGGTCTCACTTTGCTCTAAATTGTCAATTCCTTTATCTAGACCTGTTATCCGAATTCCTTCTCGAAACTTCAAAAAACCAGTATTTTTTCTCATTTTTTATGTCGATCTCACCTTTTCTAGCTTGCATTGTACCGGAACCACTTAAAGGACAAGAAATGAATTTGGTACGTGTGGATGACGAAGCCTTACCCTCCGATGTAGTCTTGCCCCGACCACGCCTAGACGGACGTATTGTAGGCGGCTACAATATTAATATTACGGATGCCCCACATCAGATTTCGCTGCAAACAAGTGGCGGACATATTTGTGGCGGTTCTATAATAGCGGTAAGTTGTGAGGAAGTTAAAAATCAGTCTTCGCAAAAAGAAGGGTTTATGGACAAAGGTGCTTTTGTTATTATATATCACCAAAAAAATCCCTAAAACCCAAAATTAATCATTTTTTAGAAGAACTTTGAATCTGAATTTATACTGCAACACGTAACACTCTCTATAGCCTATATTTACCCAATATATAAATTAGCTAAAAATTTCATTTTACATTTTTAAGTTTTTGATATAATTATTACTTGACTTGAATAATTGAAACTTGTACTACTTGTATATTTTCTTTACTTCTTAGCCCCGTTGGGTGCTCACAGCTGCTCATTGTACTGAGTAAGTTTCCTCCAATATAACCTTATTATTGATCCAACTTCTTCTAAAAGTAATAATTCTAATTCTCTTCCTAATTACAGCGGTAAAACCGCTGAAAAGTTAAAGGTGCGTATTGGCTCCTCAGAGGCATCTAGCGGTGGCCAATTGTTGCGTGTCAAAGAGATTGTACAGCATGAGAAGTTCAATTACTCGAATGTCGATTATGACTTCTCGTTGCTATATCTGGAAAAGGAAATACAGTATTCGGACAATAAAAAGCCAATTAAGTTACCAGACGAGAAAGATCAATTTATGGATGGCGATATTTGTTATGTGACCGGCTGGGGTAATACACAGAATGCCAGCGAGTCACGTCAGTGGTTGCGGCAAGCTGAAGTACCGTTGTTCAATCATGAACTCTGCTCGGAGAAATACAAGCAGTTCGGCGGCGTTACAGATCGTATGCTTTGTGCTGGTTATCTGGAGGGTGGCAAGGATGCCTGTCAAGGTGACTCAGGTGGTCCGCTGATTACTAAGGATGGCATGTTGGTGGGTGTGGTATCATGGGGTTATGGCTGCGCTAGACCCGAATATCCTGGTGTGTATTCCCGTGTGCAATTTGCGCGTCATTGGATACGCAAGCGTAGTGAAGTTTAAATCGGGATGAAAAAAGGGAATTATTGTAAAAACTGGCAGGGCTTCTTCGTTTCTTAATTGTTTACCGACCGAAGATTTTGATTTAAATCTTTAAATGTTTAACTAAAATTTAAAATAAAATATATATCAAGCTATATCAGGGAAAACTTCATAGCTGGAACTACAACAATTTAAAATAACCGTTAAAACGACTTCGCTTCTAAATCTTTTTTAGCTCCGAAATTTAGATTAGGAATAAACTCAATGAGCTCATCGGTAGCGGTTATTTGCTGACAAGAAATAGTATATTTTGTCTTATCGTTGTCCATCGGCGGATGCCTTTGTCTCGTTTTCTTAAAAGCGTTACTGTAGCTTTTGGTCTCCTACCGGAGTAGTTAAGATCTGTTGAGCGATAAGGCTGTTCCATCTGAAAGCTTATTTGGTATCAACGACCTCCTAGAAGTCATTCTTAATGACTGGTAGATGGTCTTTGTGAGTGCGTTGGACAGAAAATTACTTTTGTTCGTACCGTAATTAATGAAAAGAAGAGAATGTTTTAATTTAATTGGTTGATTTTTTTGGTATATCTGAAGATTTTATTTCTAATCAATATCTCATGAAAGGTAAAGTTCCATTGGTAAACTTATGTGTGACATTAAGTGGGCTTATTTTAGAATATTACTTCACTTCAGCTTTCTAATCGTGCTTTCAAGCCTGGTTAAGGAATGCCTTACCTCGTTATCAATGGCATCGATTCACTTTGTGATAAGACTAGTATGGGTGCCAGGCCACAGTTGAATTGAAGGTAACGGTAGAGCTAATGAGAAGGCGAGGAAAGGCGCCCTAGTCCCACTATCAGTTGATTGGGAACTGGTCAGTGTTCCACTCTCCTTTAGCTTTCTGCTACTGGATATCCGGGACTTCCCGGGAGCTTGGACCACGCTGGGCAACCATCGGTTAATTCGCTGTCGTAAGATCGTTTTAGCCCAAGTTCAATTGTTAGATAACCAGTCAGCTATTTGCCTTCAGTAAGACTACCCTCTCTCTAGTTATGGGGGTTTCAATAGGACCCTATCGGCGTCCACCTCAGCTAACCTCTGAAAACTATTTCGATTGCCCTTTTCTTCGCTTAACGGGTACGCCACTATTTTTTTCCCCCTGGATAAACGTTATCTATAGTAATCTGGAGTCCTATCCGATCACGAACCACTTATTGCTTTTTTATGTAATTATCGACTCGAACGCTAGCTATAATCGTCCTCACTTTTCTATTCAGTATAACTATGAGTCACAGACTATTCAATCCCATCATCAGAAACTCTCTCTCTCTCTCTCTCTATTATCATACATACGTATTTTCATTGTATGGGATACCGAAGACACTTTTTTAATATATTAAAAAACATTTCTTTTGGTCGCCAAAAGGTACTAATTAAAAGTTGTGCCTTTTGGAATATTAGCCTTGATTTTCCACTTGAGAAAAATATTTCGAACTGTGTCCACTTAGCTCCGTGCCATTCAGCCTTTTACCAATATTCAACAAGGATTGGTAGGTTATAGGTCTCGCAGAAAGCAGACGACTCAATTTTACTGTAGAGGACATACATATACCTTGACTCTCTAAACAAATAAAGTCTTTCTAACGCAATTTCAAACTACAAAACTTTTTAATTATAATCAAGTTCTTCGCATTATTCAGTATTATATACAAATTTATATGTAGATATAAACTCTTGCTCTTTATTTGTGGGTATCAGATGTTTATATAGAATTCGTTGACCGTAGAATTCGTTGACAGTTGAAGTACAACTACATTGCTTATGAATGTCAATGTCAAAAGTTAAATTAAAATAAGTCGCGCACGTTGTGAGACATTGAGAGGCAAACTACGTCACGTAGTCTGACGTAGGAGTAAAGTCACACGTAAAATTATAAAGTTCTATACACAATAGAAACAGAAGCGCAATGCCTCTTATAATCTTTCAGTTGAATCTTTATGCAACTGCAGTTCTCAGTGGAAATATTTTGAACAACAACAAGTCATTAGGGGATTTCAATTGAGTGAAACTCAATGAAAATGAGCAAGTCAAAGAATGATGTTTTTATAAACGTCATAAAAAGTACTAAGCAAAAAAATAAATAAAATTGTGTATGAATTTGGTGGTAATACAAGTTGAAATCGACATAACCTAAGGTGGGTATTCGATATTCAAACAAAAATCTGGTCCCACCTTAGTGACCACTTTAGCAGTCATTAGTCATAGCTCTATAGCGTTCCCCATTGACTGTTACATTATGGCCGGCTTCATTTTTGAAGAAATATGAATTAATAATTCTCTGCCCTAGAGCACACCAATCAGTGGCTTTTGGAGGATGTAACGGCGTTCCAACAATGGCTTGTGGATTATCCTCACTCCAAATGCGACAATTTTGTTTATTAACGTATCCATTCAACCGAAAGTGAAATTCATCGCTGAACAAAATTTTCTTGTGAAAATTGGGATCGGCTATCTCGTTTTGGGTACATTCACCGAACGTTGTACCGAAGTGAGTCTGTTCTTTCTAAAATGGCAAACCAAACTTAAGTATATGTTAAATCAAGTAACAGCCGACAAAAAGACGAACACCAAAAAAAGTTTGAGAAACACACTACTAAAAAAAAGCACCCTTCATAAATACAATTATCAGAATTCAATTTCAATCCTATTGAAATATTGATTAATTAAAAATGTGTTTAACTAATGAATCCTACACCTCAGGATCCGATCCTTATATAATTTGAAATATTATGATCGATTTTCTTTCCATATTCCACCAATGATTCTATTTAGAAAAAAATGACTTTTAGGCTCCCTATATCAATAAAAATCGTCCATGTGCTAAATGGTTCCAACAGGTCATATCAATAATCTACCTACATATATATCGCTGGAGAACATCACATTATTTGGACATATGTAGTTTAGGTTACCGAATCATATTGAGAAATGGGCTTCTCGATTGATTATAATCAATATTATCAATATTACCTTGATAATTATCGAGGCCATGTAAATTGACTCCATACTATTTACTTATTTGGGTCCAGCTAACGGTCTTTGCTTAGAAACCAGTTTTGGTACAAGACTTTTCTGAGCATAATTGAAAAAGGAGAAAGAAAATGGAGAGCCTCGCTACAGCTTTTTCATATTCTAAATTGTCACTTCGAAGCACATCAGTTGGAATTTTATGATCATCAGTTTCACAACCCGATGCGGGTCTTCGTTTGCTGCAATTTAGTTCTCCAATTATTTCTGTTCCTTGCTTGAGTTCGCCAGCATCGTTGTAGTTCCAGCGCTTCAATGTCCTGGTTCACACCACAAGCCATCTAAGTTTTGATCTGCCTCTGCTTGTGTATTTATGTATATGCTTAGGAAAATTTACTTAGGAGGATAATATTCGTCGGCGCCAATAATATGGACTGGTACCATAGTCTGTTTAATTTAATTGTTGTTACAATATCGGCGTGCTTATAGAAAGTAGAGCGAATAATTAAAGCCACAAAATTGAAATAAAACTAAAGCTGTCTATATTTGGAATTCACAATCGACTTCTCGACAAACAATGAAATAATTGTATGTTAGTGAAACGGTCCATATGAATGAAATGGTATATACTAAATAGTGAACATAATGATACAGCAACGTTCTGTTGATTTTTTTGTAGGTGCTTTTGGGAGAATAAGAAATGGAAGATCCGATTCCTGGATGATAACGAATTTGCTTTGCTTGCCAAAAATTAGTTAACTAAGTTCAAATATATCTGCAACTCTTCCAATCTGGGGGCTTAACGTGGATTTGTTAAATCATATACTAAGAGTAAGACGACCGGTTCGCGTGGTAGACCAGAGCTAGGCGAAATATCTGACAGTATATCTAACAATCAAATCTCACAATAGACAACCTCCGAACAGAGAGCATAACAGTTCTGCTCAGTTGACTTGAAAGCGTGATTCTTAGAAAAATTTATGGATACCATAATTTCTTCTAGATGTTGCTGCATAAGGTTTATGAAATTTATTATAGAAGCCGCTGTTGATGGAGACGATGACGAGAAGTGATTACCATTACCAAGTGTTCTAATCAAATATATTATGTATGCACATGCGCAAAATATACGAATACGAATAGTAAAATTACGTATTGATATATATATTGTGGGAAAACTAGTACCCTCACACATATACACATACCTTAGAATATTTATTTAACGATGCCAAACGCGAAAGCGAATAATATGACAAAACAAATGACAGTAAAAACATAAACAAACTGCTGACTTTATAAGAAAACGAGAAAAGAACATGCAAAAGTAGACAATGCGAAGGTCGAAACAAAAGTTGACGTCGCTGTAGGGCTAACGAGTATGCAGGAAGGGAGCAAAAGCTCAATTGCAAGTTTTTGCACAAACACAAATGTGAATATTGTATTAGATAAAGCAATCTCACGTATAATCGAATGTGTATCTCTAGCTAATGTTAACGTAACAGACAGAGCTGATTAAATAAATTTGTTACTCTATCTAGACATTCTATGCAGCGGTTTCATATATGGATTCACATACATATGGTGTTGTGGTGAGTGATTCAATAAGTAAAGTATTCTTGTAATTGGAAAAATTGATTTTTTCTATGAAGTATAAATCGAATGCAAGCTCTGTTATGTATAGCCTATCGAACTATTCTTCAACATACTACATAATTTATATACATATGTACATATACATTTCCTAGTGAAGACTGGGAAACCCCTCTGCTGGTTATATTCTTCTCCAAAAAACCTCTCTCTGTGACTTTCATAAAGTCTTTTAAATGATTATTCGACTTTTACGACAAGAAATCGATGGTTTTTGATATTCTGATACGAGATTTATATTAATTTGGCTTTTCATCTATGTAAATATGTGATAGAGAAGAGAATGTTCATAAAATTTGTGCAAAAAATTATGGTGAACAATCTCATAAGTCGTATGAAGTTCTTTGTTAAAAAGTGATAGCAGACATCCATCCTTGAACTGCAACTGCATGCTAAAAATATCTGAGAGTCAGTAAAACATTTTCAATAATCTCACTAAAAATGTAGATTTCCCTGACAAAATTAATATATTGAAATCTGATATTCCGCATAAAAATACTAAAAATAAAAAGGTTCCCATATATTTACTGTACAATTGTGACATAAGAACATTTTTCGATTCGATTCCCAATAAGATCACCGCAAGTAGTAACTAGTTTTATTTTTGTTATTAAGGCGATACTCAGTATTACAGTAACAGATCCCGAGGCCTTGACAAAGGTTCTAAGTTCTCGAAAGCATATTAGAGCTTGTTTTGTTCTCTGTTTCTTTAAAAGTTTGATCGAAGTCTGAACTATGAGATCTTTTGATTCTCTCAATCCTTTTTGGTTTATTAAGTCTCGGTCGGCGGTTCCGACAAATAAGCAACTTTTAAGGGAGAAAAGCACGTGAGCAAAATTTCAGATCGATATCTCAAAAACTGCTGGAATAGTTTGCGTCAATACATACGGACGGACAAACAGATGGACATGTCTAAATTGACTTAGCTCACTAGCTATATACATTACATAGGGTCTTCGACGTTCCCTTCTGGGTGTTACAAAGTTCGTAGCAAACTTATATAAAGGTATATAAATAGAGAACAATTAGCTAATATCAAATTAAATAAAATACAAAATTTAGGTCTCAACAATTCTTTTGTTAAATGGTCCAAATTCGTCGAATCAGCTAGTGCTTACATAAATTAATCTTATGGGAACACAATAACGGCTCAACCGCACAAATTTAAACAGCGCCATGCCGCACCGAATAACCGGTGAAGTCATTAAAGTTTAAAGGAAATTTTCCGTAACTTATAACGGTATTGCATTTGGCTTTTTGTTTGTTTGAATATGTAAGCATATGCCAGGCGCTAACTAATCACCCACACCCCATAACCAAGGCAACCCTTCCGAAGTTCTTTTCTCGCGCTACACTCATAACGGCAACAATACCGATTTCTTATTGTGTGCACGCCACAATCAATGTCAATTTCCGCTTGCGTCTGCCAAGTTGCCGGCTACCAACGAGTGAGTTAAACTTTTACGCACACACACACACAACACGGCTAGTGAGCAGTGTGCGTATACAATGTAGAGAAGAAACAAGAAAATAATGGTTATTAGTTGTTAGAAATCCGGCTTTCTTCTGCTACCGCGGCCACTGTCGCTACTGTTGTTGCAGTAGTTGTTTATTAAGCTGTCCAAACGTGCGCACGTTTCGGGTACACGTGAGCCGAGCAGGCGCGCAGCCACCTTCGGAGAACGTTTTCCATAACGTGCCGCAAGTTGAAGTAGGATAGAAAATCAACCAAGCGCAGTCGGCATAATGGATTGTTTGTGTAGCCGGCAAAAAGCTCTCAGCGTGGTCAGCACTCATGTGTGCGTGTGTTTGAGTGTGCGTTCAATCTGTAGCTATTGTGCTCGCAAAAGTAGAATAAGCTTGGCACAATGCACGAACGCAGTGCCGTAAACAGCGTCTGTTCCCCCACCCTATTATGGAGCTCATGTAATTGCATGTGAGTTCGCGTGGAAATGCAATTTCGCATAGGCAAGCCGGCTCTCAACGCTCTGTGCATAACTCACTAGAACGCGAACTATCGCCGTGGACGGATGTGCTTGCGCGCAAAAGTCAACTAATATTCGGAAATAAAAATATCATATTATATCTCCCAAGTGAAAGAGAAATTTCATTTCCAAGCAGAGAAGTTCTTCTAAAAACAAAAACAAATGCTTAAGTTTGCAACGGAAGTGCCGCAAAATTGTAAAGCAAGTTGTTTATCGATAACGCTTACATTTTGCCGCTCGTAAACATATAATAACGAATGTATGTATAATTGCTTCGCTGGCTTTTGAAATTGTTGTGTAAGTGTTGAAGTGCGACGCAGGCAGTGGTAGTAAGGGCGCGCGTGGGTTCTCGCTGAAGAGTGAACGGCAGGGATATTTGCGAAATGCTTAATGCAATGTCTAGTGCACTTAATTGGCAAAATTTGCAATACATATATATACATATGCAAAACTAAACAATATATGGCATTAAATATTCAAAATTCAATATTTTTTCAATTCTCCGATGAAATAAAAATTATAAAAAATTAATAACTAAGTACTCATAACAACTTTTGGTTTACGTCAGCTTAACTAGATTGTGTCGGCGTTGCAATTGAACAAAAGCTTGACTACAATTGAAATGAAAAATTGCGAACATTCGCGTACTAATATACGACTGCACCTTACAAGTGGTAATTAAAAAACAATTAAGTGCAGCGAGAGAACTATAAAAATTAAGTGATTTTTAGTAAACACCGTTATTCAAGCGGAATAAAAACAATACGTAGTAAAGAAAAGCTTGCGGAATAGATGTGAAAGCTTACAAAAGCACATACATATTTATTTGAATTGTTTTTGTACGAGTGCTTTGCAGGATAGAATGGTTTTCCATAATAAATAATAAAGATATTAAAAAAAAAAAACGTTAATTTCGGTGTCATCGAAGCTAGAATACTCTTTAGAAATAAGAAAGTTTCGATACACGAAATTGATTTTGTACGGTCGTATTGTATGACAGCTTTATGTTATGGCCCGTTCTTCTTCTTTTATTCAGATATTATACCAATGCTTTGGAAAGTAATCTGTGCTAAATTTCGTGACTATAGCTTGTCAAATGACAAAGTTTTGCATACAAGCACTTTAATCCGATCGTTCAGTTAGTATTGCAGCTACATATAGTGGTGCGATATTAGCGGTTCCGACTTATGAGCAGCGTCTCGGGAAAAACAGAACGTGTGCAAAATTTCATATCGATATCTCAAAAACTGACGGATTAGTTCGATATTTATTTATATATATAAATTTATAGGGTCTTCGACGTTTTCTTGTGGGTCTTACAAACTTCTTGGCAAACTTAATGTACCCTGTTCAGAGTATAAAAATGGAAATGTGGAAAACATGTTTATTAATAGTGATCATCTCGCTATAGCCGATATAACCGATATTCTTAAAAATCACTCTAAGCGATATGAAACCAACCCGCAGTTAGGTTATTCAATTCCGATTGAAACTCACGATCTATTTGAAATCAACTTTCTTACGGAAGATCTGCCAAGACTAAAAATATCGACAGTTCAAGGTTAGAATACGTATATAACTATTAAGGGGTCATTGAGAACTGAGTTTATATTCTACTGTGATTGAGAACAAGCGTTTTAAAGGATTCGCACCTTTTTACTATTTTCAAACATTAATTCAAGAAGAGGGTCCTTTTTTGCTAGATTTGCGAAATCATTAAAATATTGAGATTTCAAGACTCAAGTATTTGCATAGATAATGTTAGAGTTATGATCGGGTCATTAAAGAAAAAATTATTTCAACGAAATTACTCGTTTTGCTATTTGAAATTACTCGTTTGCTATTTCTATTTTTGTACATTCAAGAAAAGAGAGCTTTCTTTGATAGATTTTTGATCTACCTGTACCGTACCTGTGTACATATAAGCGCCTAACAGTTGCTAACATATCATTAAAAAAAAATTTTAAAGCAGTTGCTCTTTTTGCTTTTTCGGAATATTAATTCAAGAAAAGAGAACTTTTTTTGATGGATTTTTGAAACTAGCTTCACTATTTTGGAGGATTAATTCACGAAAAGAGGGCTTTTTTGCGAGATTTTTTTAACTACCCATATAGCTTTTTGTAAAGCGTTTCTTTTTGACGCTATTTAGAAGCAAACGTATATTCAAGCTCTTAAGGGGAAAGTTAATCACTAAGTAGGAACTTAAGATGTCAGCACCGATTGCCTTCATTGTCTGTTACATGCACTTTACTTATCTGTCAATCAACTCTGACAATCATTAGAGCAACAATAATTCGCATGAGCGGCTTAATTATTCTTAATCTAACATTGATTATGAGTTTCCACTTCAAACAGGCGCATTACGTAAAATAACTAAGCGAAGAACTTGCATTTCTACGTTCGTTTGTACTAATTTTATGAGATTTGCAGCTTTTACTAACACAACTTTAATATATACTAGTATGTAGACATATATACAAAAGTAAATATTTAGCTCTCAAGTGTAATACAACCAAGAGAACGCACTTTAATGACTATTTAAACGAATTTGGCCGCACATTTGTGCGCAATAAATCAAATAACTGCAAATGAAAAAGTAAAAATGAATGTCTGATTTCGTAAACACTTCAGTGCTGTGCTTTTTGCTACCTCCGCCAAACGCCGTGAACTCTTAAAGAGCTTTTTAGCAACTTTGGATCCCTCACAATTTATCGCTACGGAAAACGCGCATACAAAATAAATTTATATAAATGCTAATCGTATATTTAATTTCCAAATCTCTGAATAGAACTGTTTCACTGAATGAACGTTTAGTGCCATGCTTTTATGAGGCTTTATAAACTACTATTACAATAAGGAAAAGTAAATAAAAAATGCAAAAATAAAGTAAACAAAATAAATAAAAAAAATAACAAATAAATCAAATAAAAAACCAATAAAGATCTCTAATTTGGATTACAAATTTAGCTTCGAACGAGGTCAATAAATTTACGCTGGACAGTGTGATAAAACTTATAGATAACGGTGAGTTTTAATGTTTTCCTATATATTAAATTCTTTTAAATTTAATTTAATATTCGGTCTTAAAAATAAAGGTGGTCTGCTTTCACCAATTCAATATAGCTTTTTATACGCAAAAGCTCCAAGAATAGGCTGGCTTTTATTAAAAGCTTATCAGAAAAAGTCTATTATTTATAAACTTGCAGAGAATTTCAGGTTGTGTTGGGCCGCTGAATAAAATAATACGCATAACTTAAAGATCTTCAATCTTTTTTGTATTAATTTATGGTTGTATAATAATTTTAAGTGTATATTATCCCTCTATCTCTCTATCTCTTTGCTTGGTTTTGGGAAGTCAAATGCCTAAATTACCCGGAGGATTTTATATTGTGAATACAATATATACCTATTTTGAAATAGTAAAATATATAAAGTGCCTATGGTTGTAGAAGCCTTAATTGATATATAAATATTCGGCCAAGGAAAATTGTAATCAGGCAAATTCAAAACTAATAAAACACTAGACGAAGAGTTCAAACCATATTATTGCAGTACCTTTACTTTAAGTTAAATGCTGAGGTCAAAACTTCTTACAAGTATGGTATGTAAGTATTTTACAATTCTTATGTCGTCAATAGATTTTGTATTAATTTAATCTATGACTAATATTTTGATCCTGCGAACCCGAATACGTTTTCAAAAAATCCCTAATCTGATCAAAATTTTCCAAAAATGTTTTCAAAAATTCACTTATCTGATCAAAATTTTCCATAGACTACTGCTAATGCTCACACTGTGTAAAATATTAAGGCTTGAACTATCCTTTAGCTTTACCTAAAAGTTGTATAACATATATACTCATATAGACATGTACATATGTATATGTGTGCCGGAGATCTATGCGCCTATGGTACGTCAACTAAAGTTCATCAGAATTTTAAATTTATGACAAAGTAACTTAAATGATTTGAATATCATAGTTGAGAAAGGAAAAAATAACTCTCGTAACTGCTAAATATTACTGAGGCGAAAGGCATTGAGGAAAACGGATGTAAGTACATAAGTAAAAATGTATATTCGTTTAGGAATACATAAACCTTCAATGAATGAAGTACTATAACGAGAGTACTCGTACTTACATTCAGGCATTTATTTAAAAATTGTATTCGAATTTGATGTGTGGTTTTTTTGGTTTTTGGTATGTTTATACAAGCCAAGATTTGGTAGCAGAACTTTTTAAATATAGGAAAATTTATTTTAAAAAAATATTTGTAAAACTAAATGTTTGGTAGTACAGTCTGGTATATGCAGAATTATGCTAATTAGATATTTCTAGGATTCACGAATGTTGTTCAAAAGCCAGTGGCTTATTTTTTTTTTAATTTAAAGCAAGCTAGCTATCTATGTCACAAAACTACAGACTAGATATACCGATAAAAAATATTAAACCTTAACAGTTTCTTAGTGAGTATCTTAAATGCATAACTACAATAAATTTTAGGAATAAAATTTCAAATTCAATGCAAAAACAAAAGTAGTGTAATTGTAAGATTAGAATTCTATTTACGAGCTTCAGATTCAAGTTCCACTTTATGTTTTAGATTTATAATTCATCATCTGCGAGAACTCAACTATGTTCGTATGTCCAAAACTAGAAATACATATAATGCCAACCACTAATCTCAGTCAGTTGTGTCGAAGATAAAGAATTTGCATATTTATATAATATCGCTTCGATCAAATGACCTGAGCTCATAAAGTTTACTCTCAGCATTGACATCTCTTTGTAATTTATTCGATATTAAGTCTAATGCGCAATTGTCGTGTTCGATTCGCCACTTCCTGGCAAATAGTTTAAAATTCACAGCGCTGGCTATGGCGCCTCCATTTGATTAACGCCATTTGTTTGTTCGTTTCGCTAAACTTTCAAAGGTTTTACGAAATGAAAACCGCTAACATATGTAGTTAAGAAGAGTCGCAAAATGGCAAGTGGCGTCGGAAAACAAGTATTTGAACGAATATCTAGAAACATTTTTCATAAGCTGTAACATCTTTTGGGTTTATTTTTTTAATCACTTTATTACATTTTTTTGTTATATGTTCACGATTTTTTCTCTGACGAGTACTCCTAAATTGCCCCAATTTAAAACTTGTTGCTGTTACTTGTGCCATATGGCAATTTGATGTGCCATTATTTTGCATAATTTTCCGTTTTCTTGACACTGATTGATGGATGTGTGTCTCTCGTAGACAAATTCGACAGGAAAACAAACTGTTGCTGACACTAATATATAAGCCCATATTTTGTCTATTGTATAAGTCGCCGAAAACCATAACTTTACTCTTATGCGTAAAGTGTGTAAGCAACAACAATAAGGCGAAAATCAAAACACGTTTTTGAAAAGCATTTACTACGCCTATCAAAAACAGACGAAGAACACGTTTGTCTTTACGTGAAAAATGGGTGTGTCTTGTTTACAGCAGTCCTTGAGAGGCGTGTATGCATGGACTTACGCATGTGCGTAACATCTTCACATGCGTTTGGATAGGTTAGGTATGTTTTGGAATTTAATCATTTTGTGGAGGTGTGTATCTCAGTAGTTTGGATGCATTTATTGAGGATATTCAGCTATATATGTATTGTAGAATTTTTAAATGTTGTTAAATGTAAAACTTAAAAAATTGCTATGGAGCCACTAAGGAATGAGCGTTGCTTACTTTAGTTGTTGCCACGTGATTTGAAATGTAACACTTATTTAGTTACAGAAACTATTTTCAAGAAAAAAATTGCGTGAAAAATGCTTAGAAAATTCTTTCCTACTATTTTCATGTATTTTTTAAATTTTTGCTAGAAAATTTTCGAACTTTTACTGAAGGGTATATTTATCAAAGATTGTCAAGCAACGCTGGGTCAAAATTACAAGTGAAAACAGGAATTAAAATACTTGATTTGTAATATTTTTAAGTTTTCATAGACTTTATATATATTTATATATATGTATTTTATATTGCACTAATAACGAGATAGCTCAAAATATTTTTAAATTACAAAATGATTAAAAATAATTGCTATAAGTCGCTATACTTGCTAAAATTGCAGTTAGGAACAAGTTGGCAACCCTTTTTTAATATAATTTCTTTTATTTTCCAAATGTTCTGTAACCACATAAGGTTTTTAATTAATTACCTTAAGATATATTAACTGATATATAATTATATATTATTTTCTTACATGAAAACACATATTTCTAGTAAAAATTAACATACCCATGCAATCACTTACTTACAGTTTTGCTTAGTCGTTAATTATATCGGGTTGCACAATTTTTGTTACGTGCTTTCATACAAATGTACACGAGTATATGTGATGGGCGGTAAATCGTTTACTGTTACGTCATAAGTTAACATTAAACTTATTTTATTTATTTAAAAAAAAATTGCTTTATATACAGTTTTGGTCTAAAAATATTAGGTTAGTTAAAAAGGGAAATTCACGCTCTTGAAAGCGTGATAAGAAGGGTATATTCAACTACAATGCTTATTATACTCTATACTTCACATGCTTCACATATTGTATATATAATATGTACAAGTACATATGTAGATAAGTTATTTCAATCACGTGTCCCGAATCGTTATAGAGGGATATGGCAATATAAACTTTTAAAACATTATTGATGTTTTTTCAAGATATGAGCAAGAATTATCAATTCACGGAATTCCGGGTGATAATGATGATAAATGCTTCTAATAGCAGGTAAAACAAAAAACTTTAATCTTAGCTGAACCGCAGCTATACTACCATTCATATGTGCATTTTTTAAACCATAAAGGAGTATAAAAAGATATTATTCTTGACTCCAGGTCAGGTTGTATGGCAGCTATATGATATAGTAGTCTGATCTAAACAATTTCCTCGTAAGTTATAGCGCTATCTTAAGTAATAATCTCTGCAAAATTTCTTAAAGATATCTTGTCAAATGAAAAAGTTTTCCATGCAAGGACCTAATTCCGATCGTTCAGTTTGTATGGCAGCTATATGTTATAGTAGTCAAATATCGGCGGTTCCGATAAGGAAGCACCGTCTTGGTGAGAAAAGGACATGTGCAAAATTTCAGGTCGTTATCTTAAAAACTGAGAGACTACTTCGCATATCGTCTGTATATAATAAGACAGACGGACATGGCTAAATGGATTTAGCTCAGCACGCTTTACATTTATATATTATATTATATATACTTTATAGCGTCTCCAACGTTTCTATTTGGGTGTTACAAACATCCAGTAAAAAAAGCGGAAACATTCATGGCGGATATGATAGATAGATTAGTTTATACATTACTAACGTGAATTAAAAAATTGATTATTTTTTTACTTTATGCACTGAAAAATTTGTTGAGAGACACCGCAAAAAAATTCTCTCCAAGTATGGGCTCTTTATATTAATAGGAAGGTCCTTAGCTTTTCAATTTTCTATTTTTTTCTTATTATTGGAAAGAAAAAATCATTTCTCAGTATGTCATATACTATTTGAAAAAAAATGTTTGAATTTATATTTGTAGGAAATTGAATTCTCTACAAAAATGGCCGCAAACGATTTTTTCCTAAACCTCATCGTTCAAAAGTTATAAAAAGTTAGAGGGCTTAATTATTTTAAGGCATATTTCGTTTTTTTCATGAATTCAATAACAAGTTTTCTCGCTGTTCTAATGTCTATTTTGTTCTATCATATATTTACACATTTGTATGTATGTAATAAATCATTTTTAAACTGTAGCATGCACCAATGAAATACAGGAATACAGCTATATTTAGCTGATTTGCACTCAAAAGTATACCTTCTAACCAAATAGTACATATGTATATATATGTATGCCTATATATATCTATATATGTCAATTTTACATGAATACATGTGAATCTCTATATGTAGATAAGCACGCACCCACAAGTGGTTTTTTTCCAAACATTCTTCGGGAGGCACGACATGCCTAAGTCTTCTTCCTTCAATTATTTTTATTTTGCAAAGCTCTTATGCGCACAAAAGCTAAAAATACCCACGTAATAATAGGTCCGGCTTGTGTTTGGTCCATTGTCGGGCATTGCCGAGTAGCCCAAGGCCCACCATATAAAGGCGCGCACAACCACACGCACGAGCGCACACACACACACACCTAAAAAAATCGACATCCGTTTGCAAAATGCTTCGTTTGCACGATTCCTAACGCGCGCATCGCTGAAAGTTGCACATTTTGCCGAATGTGCAGGCCAATGTGAGCTGCTACCAACCAGGTTGGCACGCCAAGCCGTGCATGTGTCTGCGCGCGTTCAAGTGTTTATACAATCAGTAGCAGCAGCGGCAGCAGCAGCAGTTAGCTTGGAGCTAAGCAATGCATGCAGTTGCTGCCACAATGAACCCGTTGCAATGGTCACATGCGTCGGACACACGGCCGGTTCACGGTCGTGTTGATTATAACACGAGTGACTGCTGTTTGTGGTAGAAAAAATACAAATAATATAAGAATAGAAAACTAAAATAGTCAATCACAGTTTTCAGTAGAATTTTATTTTGGCACGTAGATTCTTAAACACTTGTTGTTGGAATATAACAAGTTGGATGGAGCCATATAGATACATAAATATTTATATGAGGGCATCAACAAACTGTTTTTGAGTGGGTTTATTCATCCTTTATACATAAGTCGGTGATACCTGAAGTTTAGATGAAGTTACTGCGAGTGAGAATCTTCCGAATTGAGCTCAGCTTTGAGCTTTGAACTGAACGATCAAACTCAAGATAAACATTTTTTTATACCATTTTATGCTAAACGAAATGCACCAGTGAAGGGTATTATAGCTGCAGCGCAGTCAAAGTTAACGCTTTTTCTTGTGTCCAAACTTTTTTGCTTTGAAATCGGCGTTAGATGTGGGCGTCCGGGCGCTACTTTGCTGCAGATTCTACCAATATTGAATACGAAATACCTTTTGCGAACTCCCTAGCAACCATTTACCGCTGATTTGGTAGCACCCACGAAAATATGATTACATATATTTACAAAACCATGTGTTTTCAGTGACATTCTCCGAAATGTGTGCCATTTTTCGTATGGTGCTGCATACTTTTAGGGGTGTGTTTAGTATTTCTATAGGCCTTTGTTATAACTGCTTATTTTATGCGGTGATTACGTATCGACAAAGGCAAATCGATTGTATAGAATATATAAAAGCATCTAGTTTTTTTGTGTTGCGTGTGCATATCAGCATTTTAAACATATGTTTATACACATGTGTATAATTTTATGTAGTATAACGTATGCATGTGGGCTTGTCTCGCTTATCACGTTTCATTACAGCTGCTACTTGTTGCTATACCTGCATTGCTTTTGTTGTATGACTTTCGTGTGTCGACCAATTGATTGTGTAAGTGGAAAACTTTGTTTGATTGGAAATTTGTTGTTGAACATTTTACTGCACGTTATGGTTGTTTATGTCTATATATACTATATATATGGCGTGTGGTTGTGTGTGTATGATGTGTGCATATATGTATGTATCTAAAGAATTTTACTTCGTATAGTTTATATAACGGTTTCTCTTTAAATATCAAGTCGTTATTAGTTTTCCAGCACACATGTAGCTACACGGAAGAGAGGATAAAGCCAACATAACATATGTTTCTAAAATTTATTTATTTTGATAAACCAAGATTTTTCGGGTACTTTTCAAAGCTTCAAAAGTTATAAAATGAGATGCATTATTAATTATAAATATGACATATATATATATATATATAGACACGTCTGCTTTTCTGAGTTATGACAAGGATTGTTTTGATGAAAAAATGTTCCTGATAGCATAAAGTTCCTTGCTGAGGATTAATTGCCACTGCTCCTGGCGAGGCAACCATACCTACGTGGTTCACTAAATGCCTTACAGGTGATATATAATAATATGAGCACCGAAGACGATGAAAACATTAAAACAAAATTTACAAAATAATTTCGGATGCACGTAAAATGAGGTTTATCGAGATACTTTACACCAATTTATCAATAGAACGTGTTGGGTGTATGTTCATATATGTATATGTGAAAGCTCTGTGCAGTTTGTACTTTGAATTGCTTAGAGAGAGTTCCAATGTATACTTCGGATCTGATCCCAGTGACTTTTTGCTGTTCAAAGACCAAAAGAAGAAATGATCGCTAGAAAAAAATCATACATACTGGGTCCTATATTGAAGCACAATACCTATTGTTCTACGGCAATTATATTAAAAAGTTTAAAAAATGGAAAATCTATATTACGAGTATCGCTCTAGATAAATAATTTTTAAATTAAAAAAAAAAAATCATAATAATAAGGTGATAAGGTGAAACCCACTGGAAATGGAAGACAAAATAATTAAAACGAAAGAAAAAATAATTTATGGGTGATCTGAAGTCGTGAAGAGGAAAAGTATGGGGGTGGTTGAATCCTTAGGATTTGCGAACGGTTTATCTCGATTTCAGGCAAAACTACGAGTTCGTTGGAAAAACTTAGAATGGCAAAGTTGTAGGCTGTAAAAATATTTAAAAGTTTTGAGTTAACTCTTTTTTGACATCACCTCACCTCACCTCAAAATTTATATGAAAATTTTAAATCTTTGCTTTTTTTGTTTCTATTTTTGTCTTTAGCAACAGTTTTGTTTTCTTCCTAAACTTACTTCAGTTTTTTTTTGATTTGATATAATTCTTATTTTTTCATATATTATTTCAACTTAATATCGGAAAAGAACCATATTTTTAAGCAAATTTTCTCACAGCCAAAGTTCTGTTGGAAGAAATTTGTTTCTAATGTTTATGCCAATTACTGTACAGTACAGGTGAGTTCTACGAAACTACTTAAGTAAACCCCCATATCAGTAAAGATCGTTAAAATGTTTCATCAGTTTGCCTACTTCAATCACGCTGAGCTTGCACGTGCGTCGCGTGAGAGCAAAGCTTTGGTGTTGAGAGCTGAGTTAACTGCTTATAACTCATAGTGCTTTTTAATTGTTATTGTTTTCTAGTTTTTGTTCATGCATTGTCGAGCACGTTGCGATACATTTGTTATCATATATGGCATATAATGGTATGTACATATATAAATTATGTATAGTTCTGAAGCGCTCTGTTATGAAATATATTCGCAGTTTAATGAAATATACTCCTTGTATATTAACCTTCAAAATTTTAGATAAAAGTCAAACCAGTTCGACGAAAATATTGCCGTTGACTCTCTAAAGAATAATCCCGAAAACCGAAACATTAGTCTTTGATTTCTTGGGTGACACTGCAATATAACGAGCTAATTGGGGCGTGATATTGTCTACTTTTAACCAAAGTTTCTTATCTCGTAAGCTGCTTAACTGAAATAAGTATCATCATGACCATTTCATACCTCTCCTTGACACAGAAAGAGAATAAACGAAGTGCAACCACGCGCACCGCTAATATAACGGTATTTTTAATATTGGTTAGCCTGTACAGTAAATAACTCATGCAACCTCAAAGGTAGCGAAATAATTCAAGCATTATTAACTCTGTCTGAAGAGTTGTCGAAGTCGGTCCATAACCCTCGTATACCGAATATTATGAATTAAAACTAAAGTAATTCAATTAAGATTAGAGAGATATTAAGATTATTAATAATTATTGACCTTTACAGCAACTACCTTAGGCATCAACGAAAGAATAGAAGTATAACTTCGCATACTGGTGATTAACGGCTTAATTTTGTTAGACTAAAGGTTGTGCACAGTTTTCCGTGTTTTTTTTTCAGAGATTTTATTCTACCATACTATAGTAGTAAGCATTTCACACAACTCTTAACAGTTTTATAAATTTCCTTACTTAAACTTTAACTTTTAAATCTTTCTTTACAGAGTATTAATTTCGAAGATTTTGAAAAGACGCTAGCCTCCTAATTGCTAACACTCTTTTCCAACACCGTTTCGCTAACAAATCGGCCAAATGAGTGTCGAAGAGGACGATCACGTTCTACAAACTTAAAAGTCAATCAATTACAATAATAACAAGCTTGTAATGGACTGGTTATTGGCAACGCCACAGATACACAGCGCTTTCTCATCATTGGGTTCCCTCGAGGGGGATACCTACGTTGTTGGTCCCAATGCGTTATGTGAGTATTGCATTATAATATTTTTGTTAGCAAAATTTTTATGTTTCTTATTTTTACCTTCTCACATGCCTTGCAGCAATCCTGGATGAAATAAACTATAAGCTCACCTATGAAGATCAAACGTTACGCACATTCCGCCGTGCCATCGGTTTCGGCCAAAATGTGCGTTCCGATTTGATACCGCTATTAGAGAATACAAAGGATGATGCTGTGCTCGACTCGGTCATACGCATTTTGGTTAATTTGACAGTGCCTGTAGAGTGCCTTTTCTCGGTAGATGTTATGTATCGCACCGAAGTCGGTCGACACACCATCTTCGAGTTGAACAAGTTGCTCTATACGAGTAAGGAGGCTTTCACTGATCCGAAGAGCACAAAATCGGTTGTAGAATATATGAAATATTTGCTGGAGTCCGATCCGAAATTGTCATTACAAAAATGTGACAAAATCAATAATTGCCTGCTATTGTTGCGCAATGTACTGCACATACCAGAGATGAATGTGAACTTTGTAATGCCGTTGGCGCATTCACAACAAGGTGGTTCACATCCGGTGTCGATGCAAAATGCGATACTTTGGAATCTCTTCATACAAAGTATTGACAAACTTTTGCTTTACCTGATGACTTGTCCGCATCGTGCTTTTTGGGGTGTAACAATGGTGCAACTGATCGCTTTGATGTACAAAGATCAACATGTCAGCACGCTACAGAAGCTTTTGAATTTGTGGTTTGAGGCTTCGCTATCGGAGAGTTCGGAGGATAATGAGAGCAATACCTCACCGCCGAAACAGGGTAGTGGCGATTCGAGTCCAATGCTAACGTCGGATCCCACATCAGATTCATCGGACAATGGTAAGTCCTACTACTCGGTAGCTATAGAAAAAGTCACGGCAGAGTTTGCATTGCTGCTGCCGTCGGCAAGATTGAAAACCGATTTACGTACAAAAATAGGCGCACTAAAAAGTCACACTTGTGTCTCAACAGGTAGTAACGGTTGTAAGAATGAGTGTGCCGAAGAGCGACGACAGGCTTTGCGCGAGGAGGCGACCGAAGCCACGCTGCAGGAGGTTAGCCGCAAGGGTCACGAATATCAAAACTCGATGATGTGTGATACGCATGTAAAGAAGGAGGTCGACGACGTGGACACGGGCAGTACCGACAATAATGTCGAGAATGAACAAATGTGCACGTCCTTGCTAACTACAACACGTAGTACTAATACTTCACCGACATCCATTAAAGTGGAAACCATGGACGAGATGGCCGATGGTGAAAGCGAAGCTGGTTGCTTGGGCAAAACTAACGGTGACTCACCACAGACTTGTGATATGATTGGTGAGAGCAGCAACCAACAAAAACAACAAAACCAACAACCAACTGAACCCAAACAAAGCACTACCACTGCAGAGGCGAAAAAAGCTGACGCCGATGCGGTTAAATTTAAGGCGCCAACAGGTATCATAAAACCCAAGCCACTCTCGCAAATGATGGCCGACATGCACGAAGAGGAAAACGATCCACCACCACAGAAAATGTTCCAGAAGGTGCCACACTCGGGCCAATTGAATCTAACTAAAGGCAAGAGTTGTCCGCAAAAGCGTGAGTGTCCCTCTTCGCAATCGGAGCTGTCGGACTGCGGCTATGGCACACAAGTGGAAAATCAAGAATCCATATCCACTTCAAGCAATGATGACGACGGACCACAGGGTAAACCGCAACATCAGAAACCACCATGTAACAGTAAGCAACGCAGCAAGCAACGTATTGTGATGGCGATGGTGGACAAGAAGGAACTGCGACGCAAGAAACTCGTCAAGCGTAGCAAGAGCAGTCTGTAAGTTAAACAAAAATTTGTGTGAAGTTCCTTTAACCAATAGGTTTTACAAATATTTCCAGCATCAACATGAAAGGCCTGGTACAACATACGCCCACCGATGAAGACATCTCTAATTTATTGAAAGAGTTCACTGTCGATTTTCTACTCAAAGGTTATGGTTGTCTAGTGGGCGAGCTGCATTCGCAGCTACTTACCAATATTGTAAGTGTTCGCTTTGCTTGTGTGTTTTATTTTGTTGACAAAATCTTTTTCCTTTAGAAAATTCCCATCGATACATCGCATTTCTTCTGGCTGGTCACCTACTTTCTGAAATTTGCCGCCCAATTAGAGCTCGATATGGAGCATATTAATGCTGTGCTCACCTTCGATGTCATCAGTTATCTAACTTACGAGGGTGTTACTTTGTGCGAGCAATTAGAATTGAATTCCCGTCAAGAGGGTAGTGATTTGAAACCATATTTGAGACGCATGCATTTGGTCGTAACGGCCATACGAGAGTTTTTACAGGCCATCGAAACATATAAGAAAGTAACACATTTGAGTGAGGTAAGATCTTTATCGAGAATTGTTAAATTAGTACGTAATTTAGTGTGTAGGCTTACATTAGATAGGTTAGTTAGGCCTTGAGCATATTAATCGTTATTTTTTCTGCCTTTCAAAGGAGATTGTCAAAGTTATCTCCAGAACATAACCTAAAATCTCTCAAAGTTTTAGAATCATGATTTGCGGCCTTTAATTGCCAATTTATATCAGTTTTTTCTAAGATTTCCTATTTTTGATACACCTAATATCATGGAAATCATTCAGCAATAATTCTTTAAAATCGAAAAGGAATACGAAAAATATTGTGAAGCTATAAGTCTGGTATAAGGTCATGTTGAGCCAACTGAGTATTTTTATCTTACCTTAAGAGAACCTCAAAACGATTAATCTAAAAAATCACCTGACAAGACATATATGGAGGTTATGTTGCTCGTGAGATGTAAAACCTAAACGCCTTAGAAATATAATTGGAGGGATGACTATATCCATCAAGGGCCGGCTGATATTTGTAAATCACTTAACTAAAATTTAACACTTCACCGTGGCTAAGATTTTAACCTACTGTGGAATATGATGCTATACGGAAAAGATTTGAAAACAACTTTGAATAGCATCTTAGGCGAAGATTGTTCTGAATATAGCTTTCAAATTTTGTAGTCAGGAAATAAGCAAGAATTTTTGTTGCTCTCAATCGGACCATACATTCTTCTATATTTAAATTTTAACTAATCTTTATTTTCCATACATTTTCAGGATGATCGTTTACATTTGCGACGTCTACAGACACAAATCAGTTCCACCGAAGATTTGCGCTGTCTATTCGTATTACTTTTACGACGATTCAACCCAAATCTGCACACCAAACAGTATCTACAAGATTTGATTGTAACCAATCATCTGTTACTGCTAATACTGGATTTTATAACCCAAACAGAAGGCGATACCAGCATCAAGATGACAGAGCACATCTCACAGTGAGTATAACGCTCGGCAAAAGTCTCTTTATTTAATTAACATATGAATACCTGAAACTTAGATTCGCCACGCTTGAGGTGATGAACTATTATGGCATGCTACTGGAGGACTTCAACAATAATGGCGAGTTTGTAAATGATTGTATATTCACGATGATGCATCATGTAGGCGGTGATCTAGGACAGATTGGCACATTATTCCAACCGATTATATTGAAAACCTTCTCACGCATTTGGGAGGCCGATTATGAGCTTTGCGATGTAAGTTGGGCGAATGTAAATACTTGTATGATATTGCGACTATCTTTACATATCAAATATTTTTGTATACCTTTCTAGGACTGGTCCGATCTAATTGAGTATGTCATACATAAGTTTATAAATACACCACAAAAAAGTCCATTGTCCTTGCCAAAAACTTCACTAACCGAGTTAACCAAGGAACACAACCTGGAGAACACAGTGTGGTAAGCCTAAAGTTTTGAAACTTTTAAGATCTCACCTAATGTTTTCATAATCTTGTTACCACCTAGCGCCTGGACACAAGAGGAAATGGACACCTTATATTGGTATTATGTGCAAAGCAAGAAGAATAATGATATAGTCGGCAAGATCGTGAAACTATTCAGTAATAACGGCAATAAACAGAAGTCACGTATCTCGATTATACAACAACTGCTGCAGCAGGTGAGTGTTACAAACTTTTCTCTACCATTTTTTCTGGAGTTACTTGAATTATGCTCTTCTTATTTTCCTTCACAGGACATTATAACCTTACTGGAGTACGATGATCTTATGAAATTCGAAGATGCTGAGTATCAACGTGCTTTACTAACGACACCAACATCGACTTCTACTGAATCGGGCATTGAGCTGAAGAATTCTTCCTCTTTTGCTAAGCCCTCTGATGATATACAGGTATTTGCTAACAAGCTTCCACTATAAGATTTTTGTTAATAGCTCTTTTATCTATAGATTTTACGTGATCTAATTGTCAAGGAGAATAAGGAGAAACATTTGGTTTGGTTGCAAAAGATATTGCTGGAATGTTGTTACATAAAATTAATTTTGAAAAATTGTTTACAACGTGAAGATCGTCAGAATTTACAATACGTCATGGAACCGGTAGCTTATCATTATATATGTAAGTAAAGCCTTGGTTTTTAAAACAAAGAGTTATAAATAAGTAAAGTCATACATTCTTTAGTAGAATGGAACTCTTTTTGAGGTTCTCCAAGGGTATCAGAAAGATTTACATTAATTTTCAATCCGGTTCGCTCCTAACCTCAAGACCTTAAGTTGAAAGCTTGGTATAAAGTCAATTCATGATGGAACTCATTTAAGATTCTATTTCCATCAGAAATGGGTAGTATCTTTGACTATGTCCTAATAGTTTTGAAAATTTTTGAAAACTTTTTCATATTTACCATACATAAATGGACCGAAATTGTGACCTTCTTTTGAAAGGATTTCTGTTGTTATATGTTTTACATATGACCGAAAGTTATATCCAGAACCATCCACAGAAAACCGTCATCAATTTTTGAAGAAAAAATCTCGCAAAAAATTGTTGCAGATCACCGGACCGTACAGAGAACTTCGGACTCCCTCCTCTTTCAGTCCGTGCTTATATTAACCAAGGTAAACAATTTAAACCTATTGACTCCGATTTCGTATTGCATACACATACATAATAATAAGAATAAATCGTACCTCGAAAAGTTTTGCCGTGTTCTGGATCATGGTTTTCCATAGTTGAGAGCATAAGTCTGTGTTCAGAGCGACTACTTTTGTTACGACAACCCGTTGCTAGCTTGGGGTGTACAACGGAGAAAGAAACCAAAGGCAAATACAAGTTAGAGGGATTCATCCCCAATTGGGGTTCACGCTTAAACATAAAAAATGTGAATATCGGCGTAAAGCCCATCACTATTAATTTTAAGACCAGATAATACACTGATAGACAAAAGTGAGCGCTGCCATGATTTAGCTAAATGTTAAGTTGAAAATTAAGAAAAGGTACTGAGATGATTTCACTGATACATTTTAAATCTTATGCGTTCAGAACCCGTCGCACCCTCTCAGAAACACCCTGAGACTGCATAAATTTAGCAGAAGAGTCAAATTGTATATTTCAAACCCAGATTTAAGACATTTTTGTAAAGTATAAGTAAATAATATATAATATATATCAGTCGAATAACTAACGTATTTTTTTGTTCTCATCATTTTCAGTGAAAAACAAATCCATACCGGTTGTGCAGTGGAACACCGATCAGGCGACAACGATGCTCTATCAACCATTCGTATTGCTGCTACACAAGCTGGGTTTCCAGTTACCGGCAGATGCCGGTTCAATATTCGCACGCATACCGGACTACTGGACCGCTGAAATGATGTTTAGCTTGGCGCGCAAATTGGGACCGTTAGACAAACGTGAGTAATTATTAAAGGTGGGGTATATGTTGAGTGGTCAATGTTAACAATTTTGAGCGTATCGCTTTGTCCTTCTTTTTCTTTTTTCTCTGCCAAATAATAACTAAATAAATAATAACAATTCGACAACACAACAACAATCAATTTAAAATTATTATCAAATGGATAAATAATAATAATAATAAACAACAACATATTTTCAAAATGATTTCTACAAGCAAAAACAAATCGACAAAAATTAATTCTATTATCAATTTATGCACAAATCGATATAAAATTAAATAAAACAAAAAAATATTATAAAATTCCAATTGTAATATTTCGTACTAAATGTCAATTGTAATGCACCCCGCACGTTCATCAACGTTCATTTTCTTTATGTAAACTTGCAATGTTGTCTGCTATCTTTCTATTATCCTTTTACCACTCCACTCTCTCTGTGTGTATTTCTCTCGCTCTGTCTCTCTTGTGCTTTTGATCTTGTAGTGTTGATCAAGTTCGATATGAGTCAGTTTGAGGAAGCAAATGCAATAGAGTTGCAGCGTTGCCATCATGCAACAGCGGCGCGTGGTTCGCTCAGCTCAATGTCCAGCCTGGAGATGGATATCGGCGGTTCCGATGAGTACACGACATTAGTAGCAAGCGCAATGGAAAATGCCAATGTAAATGGAAATACAAATGGTAATGGTATTGGAACTACAACTAGCAGAGTAAGCAGTAATAGGCGTTCGAGCAGCGGTAGTGGTAGCATGTTGGCGCCGGTACCCGAGGTCGATGCTAAATTGGAGAAGGCAAGCGCGGCTAGCGATGTTTTTGCTGTGCCAAAATCGAAGCACTGCAATCCCATTATAAGGTAAGAAACACAACCTATTCATATCTTATATATAGTGAACCCACTAAGGTTAGGTTATACTGCGTAACAGTAAAAGTTTATAGAGAAAACTAGTTCACACAAGCAAAGATAATGAAGGTTAGCTGCAATGGATAAAGAAACATACTTATAAAAAATGTTACTAACGGATGATACACAGCGTCATACCCCGCCCATGCTTAATATAAGTAATACCTTGTCTAACAGGGCAGCAAATTTTTGGAGATTTTTTGTAGTTAAACCCCCTGTAAATATCCCTGTAAATTTATCATCCGGTTGTGATCTATTCCAGAGAGTGAAATATGCGAATAAGATGGTTGAACGGTGGAGTTCCAGTTTGAAGGAGAATGAGGTTGAAACTCCTCGACAGTTATACCTTCGGCGAACCAGCTGACCTAACTGAAATTGATATTTGTAGGCAAAACCAATTTGTGACGCTTTGTCAAATTATGATGGATTTGATGATGTATATACTTGTATGCATAGGAGTTTTAGGTAACACAACGGACCGACGTTCTACGCTGTCTAAGTGATATCCCTCTTAGGATCGACATTTTAGCCTAGCATTCGTAGATGGTATGATTTTAACCCTTAACCCAAGAGTTCTTTTTTTGCAAGAAATCCATTTGTTTTGCCTCGACGCGATTCATACCTAGAAACTCAATGTTAATATATAGGGTAGATCCAAAAAAAAAATGTTGTTGGTGTATGCTAACCCCCTAGAGCTAACACGAAAACTGTTTAATTCTCTAATGTCTTTCACAACAGCGTTGCATGGACGACTCGCATGAGACCAATTTTCTACGATATCGGTAAACTTTTTGACGTCTTATTTATGCAGGCTTTGTGATTTTTGAAATATTTTATCTATCTGTTATCAATTTTTGTATTTTCTGAGAATAACTAACCTCAAAACTACACTTAAAATTTTTAGATTTACACCAGATCCGGCACCACTGCCGCCTGTGCCAAATTGGTTGCAGTTGGTGATGCGAAGCAAAATAAATACGAATGTTCCAGTGACAACGGATACCGCCCATAACAATAACAATAATAACGCAATAGCAGCAACAACAACAAGTGAAAGGTAGGACAAAAATTTGATACAAAATTTGATTATGTGATTATTTATGTAATGATTGCTTTTAAAGGGTTTTTTGTTGGAGGTTTAGAACCTAAATTAAAAGAAGAATAGAAAACCATTTGCGTAGTGTTGGAAACGGATTTCTGACACAAGCAAGTTTTGGTAAAAAATTCAAAATTTTTATTTATTTTATTTTAATTTTTCCAGTGTAAGTCTTTGTCTAGTAATTTTACAAATTATACTGAATAAGAAATGTCAAACATAGCTGATTTGACAACTTGCCTTGTAGGAAATTCTACGTCTCTAAGAAAACACGCTATATAATCGTTTTTATACATACGAGGTTTGTTCAAAAAGTAACGCAAATTTTGAATTTTCGTGCGCTAAATCATTATATCTAGGGGTGCTTACTTTCAAAGGGACAAAGTAGATATGATCAAATAAACACTTTCTCAAGAATTAAAAAATTTGCGGTATATTTTGAACAAACCTTCTATGGTATATATGACGGTATATTCGACATGGATAGCTGAAAATGTAGTTACGTTAAATATGTGTAAATTAAGTGATAAATTCAATAGCGGTTTAGATTTTGAAGTTAACGATCCCAAAAGTCAGATCAATGAGCTCTCTTTCTTACGAATTCACCCACTTTTAGAAATATTTTCTCTTAACTGCCATATAATGGAATCGGGCGTATATATGTATGATAATAACCAGGAAATCGCCCATCAATGAGTAGATATATTTACGAATTGTCGCAGTTGAATATGGAGCTCTCGAGCTGTGGAACGACAATATGTAGAAAACGTTCTAAGCTCCGATCATAGTATAGCTAAAACCTAACCCCAGACATATCTAAAATCTTGGAGCACGTTTTTTTCTCGATAAATATTATTATTATGAATGAAATTGGTTATTAACATGCATGATTTTTGTTTCTTATTCAAGGTTCCGCGCTTACAATGCTGCTTTTGATCAAGCACATGTAGAAAGAATGCAATATTAAGATGATAAAAATTAATCGAAAGATATGTGAAGTGGTGGGAAGTCGTTGTATAAATAAATACATATACATACGCACGCTTTGAAGTCTATAAATTGATTCTATATATAGAAATATACGAAATCTTCTGACGTTACACATCCAAGATGTACAGCTCGAGTACATACGGAAGAAAATATACATACATATTTCTTTTTAATACTATATATGAAAATTTTAAATGAAAATTTGATTCGCGGACAGCAAAAACAAAAGAAAGAGGGAGCATTGTTATGCAAAAATGTACTCGTACACTAAACGGCGCTACGCCTCGGCCAGCTGTCGTTCTATCCATTCGCGTAAGCATACAATTATTCATTCATGTTTATTACAAAAAAAAAACGTCATATGATTTTCCACTTCCATTAACAAAACCTAACTTAAAGGAATCTTTTTCTATATTTCGCTATGACACTGCTTCTATTGTTTTTGTGCTCGTATCGCTTACTAATGGTGTGTGTGTGCTAATCTTATTATAAGAACTTTAGTCTTAATTTTCAAAATAATTGGAAATTCAGTTCGTATACTCGTATTATTGGAGTTTGTTTTTATATCGTAGAAAAAAGTTGTTCAAGCAGTTATTAAAATTTGTATGGGTTATATGATATTCTGATTCTCTATTTTATTATATTCTATGGATATTAGCCAGAAATTGTGTATACTGAGATTTCCTCCTGCATAAGATCTTCGTACTTATCCAAAATGTTCTTAATATAAAAAGTAAGATTATGGTTAAAATTGTTGGTGATAAGTGCGTGTTTAGTGCGGGTTATCTGATAAAATTTCCAGCTCAGCTGGTGGGAATAGAAATTAAAAGCTTACGCAGATTTTTTATGGTTTGTCGACACTCGACACCTAATTACTGGAGTTATTTTTCTGGATTTACGAAGGACTGAACGTACTCAGTCCAAAAGCGGGTCCAAAATCACCTTAAACTGCAAAGTTGTCAGAAAATAGTTTGACAACCTTCAACCACTACATGGGCTGAAAAGTCTTTGGCTTTTAGTGAGATCGCGCCACAAACAAAAAAATAGCAGGTCGGTATCGTTTACAACAATTACGCTACTCTAGGTGGGTATGCAGTCGAATAATTTCTTAGTTCATATAGTATTACAGTGACTAAGAGCAATTTAAGTTTCTACTAGGAGTCGTACAATGTCGTACGACGAGGAATCGATAGAAATTTTGAAGTTTGAGTACTTTTCGCGGGCCAAGTCGAGGTCAATATTTTTAGCTGAGATGCTTAATTGCCTTGGAGCAGTCTTTATATGTACCTTCAGGACTAAAGGTCATTTTATAACAGTGATGGGAGCGATCTTGTAGGTCGTGGTCTTCATTTATTCCTTTGGATATGTGCGATAGAAACCCGCTGATAGTTTGTTTGATGATAGGGGTTGGATTTCGTCGCATCATTGTTTACACAATTTTTGTTTTTATCGAATCTAGAAGCAAAATAAGCAACTTCTGCAGTATTAAATATTGTTTCGTGTGTTTCTGTGCTCTTCTTAAGTCGCAAATTAATTAAGTAAGCCGTAGAACAAATTTGACTGTTTTTCTGTCGATTTTTATATATTGGGTCAATGGTCTCACGCGTTCACCGAAACGAACTTTTCAGTTTCGAAAAGTTATGTTATAATGCTAGAACTTGGCGGCGCATTTAGATCTTTTGGTACGAGTCTAGCATTGATAGGCAACAGAACCAAAACAATAAATATTAAGTGTTGAGTTGATCCATAAGAGATGTTGAGATCTTCTGTTATCTCTCCGATGCTTACACGTCGATTTTCAAGCACTGTTTCTTTAACCTTTTTGATATTATCGTCATTAGAAGGGGTGAGTGAACGACTAACATAAGGCAAGTTTTTGATGATTTAACGACCTTTGACTGCATGCTTTATGCCACTCAAAGACTTGTGTTCCTATTAAAGTGGAATTTCCAAAACACTTCTGCAACATTTTCAGTGATTTTGTAGCCATTTGAAACAATAAAATTTCAAGTAAAGGTGTTGTTAAATTTGTTTCTTCTTCTATGGTAAAAATCCTTAGACAAACTGTTCATGTTGTAAACAAACAGCTGCCAAACACAAAATTAATGATATATGGAGATCAAACTTCACACGACATAGAAAAATATAATAAATATATATAAAGTATTAAGCAACCGATTTGAAATGTAGCTATATAAATTCATGAATATTTTTATTGTTTAATGTACCTTTACACACGCACTCATATACAAACGCAATGCAACGCAACGCTCCTTTTATGGACGATTAAACCTAAAAACGAAAGGAAACACTGTTAAATAAATGGTGCCAAATATGAAAAAAATATTGAAGTTTAAAATATGCAGTGCGAAAATATTTTGTTGTAGTTGTTTTTGGACAACAGTCTACGCACTAATAGCTGACCGTTAAAAATTGGCATTCGGCAGTCAGCAAACGTTTGCAATTTAACGACTTTGCAGATAAGAAATACGAAATAAGAAAATTAATTAATTACAAAAATCGAATAGCATATGTAGTTAACGGTTCGTTATACATACTTTATATGCATTTACATACTTACCTAACTGCGCATGCGTCAAGGTGTGTTGCAGCGGCAGGTTCAAATTAATTAAAGCAAAACGATTGCGGTAATATGGATGAGAATATAAATTAAGTTTCACCTCGCAAACAAATACATGCATATATCCACACTTACATACATGCATAGAAGTACATAAACATGTGATTTAGATCGCTCATAAAGCGATAACATAAATATTAATTTACTTATATTTGAAATTTAAAAACTAAAAAATAAAAATTTTCAAAATGTTGAATGTGGTGAAACGATGTTGGTAAAAGGGTGTCTGTTGCTCATTTAATGCTTCAGTAAACATCCGTTTTGGCATATACATAGATATTAAAAAATCAGCAAAAACAAAAACAAAAATCTAAAACACAAAAAAATGCATTAAGTCCATTAAATATATCTGATGAACTGAAATGGGTACATATTGCATGCGATTAGTGAGCAATATCAGCGGGTTATGTGATAGCTAAACGCTAATGTGTAATGTGTGCGTAATTAATTCGCGAATTTATGGCGATCGTTTGCAAAAAAAAAAAAATTTTTAAATCAGTTCGAAGCTAAAAAGTGTGCGAATAGTTTGTATTGCATAATAGTTTGTTGACCCATCGCTAAAATGGCAATAACTACACATGTACATATTTATAAGTCGATTTTAGTGTGCTAATGTTTGAAAGTTAGCTTTCTTATGAAAAAAGTAAATAAAATCTAACAGTCAGGGCACTGTAAGCGAACTATATTTGACCAGAGAAAGTATAACAATAACTTTCTAAAATCGTTTAAACTCAATGTAATTAAGTTTACTACCATTTTCGGTGAGATTAATATATTTTATTTATTTATGTCAGTTGCTTGTTCGTTTCAACACCTCCTAAATCGAGTTTCAAGCACAATATGGCTTAACTTTTAAACTAATCGTTACTTGTAGTAGACACGACAATTGTTATCTATATCTCCCTAACATATCCTTAAACCTAACGTATTCTTAAAATGGGTCACTTTTGATCTTGAAAAAGTTCGACTAAATAAACCTAGCGACTTTTTTCAGTTTGAAAATTTTCACAGTTTACTTTATCGGTCAAATGGCTAATGTGGGCATCTCAATAAAATATACAGCATAAAAATGATATTGTTGTTGTTGTAACGACAGAAAATATTCCTGAAGAAATTTCGAGCAATGGTGCCGAGTTAATAGTTCTCGTACGTTACATATTAAAATATTTTTTGGTGTTTTTATTGATTTATTTACTATGACTCATTATAGATTTTGACTCGAATGAACTGCTATAATGCCTATTCCTCTATCATATATTATCCGTGCTTATATGCTTAGTTTTATCTTAAAGAATAAATTTGATCTGGATTGACAAGGAAAAAAAAAACT